TAAGTCACTACATTTTGGGGTAATCTATTATACAAAAGATTAACTGACATCCTGATTGTTCTCTGTCGTTGATTTGTAGGACTTCCCTGCATAGTCTAAAAAGATGAGTCCCCTGTCAGTTTTACACTTTATAAATATCCTTGTCCAAACTACCATGTCTATTATATTTGTCTGCATTATCTCTTTTAAATAAATCCATAATTTTGATATAGTAAAATTCATCTATTTTCTGCATTCTGGTTCTCGCTGGATAGGGGTAAGGGCTGGTGTTTAAGACTTCTACATCCTAGGTCACAATATAGTTCCTACATTTTCTTCTACAAAGTTTTCAATTTCACCTTCTATAGGTATTTTGTCCTACTTCTATACTCTCATCAGACCAGGTTTACCTCAATTCAGGTATATATAATTTTTTACTGCAAGAATATGCTCCCTTGTTTGGACATAGAAAGAGTATAAATAACAAACACAAAGCATTTTCCATCCAGTAGCTTAACAAGTAATAAGCTTTACCTATGAATCAACTTACTAGAATTCCTTCTAGCAAGCCTATTTTTCTTATTTACCTAATACTTTAGGAGAATCTAGGCTTAAGTTGCTTGGTTGTCTCTCCTTACTGCAAACAGAAGTCCAAATCCTACAAAATAAAGTACATTCTCTAGACAACTGAATTTTGCAGAGTGCTTTGGGAGCTCTTAAAGTCATCTTCACACTATCATGTATTTTCAGGTTAAATCATTTATGTGCAAAGGTCAGAATAAACATTCCACCACTTGGCTTAACTGAATATATCTTGAAATTGGTGTTTTAAAAAACATAAAGACTTTTGCCTCAAGATGTAGAGACCTGTAAAAAGTATTTCTTTTATCCCTGCAGCAAAAAAAGAACAAAACTAGCTTCAAATTTAAGACTTTATGTGATTCCATAGGAGACCTAAGTTTGCAAAGTAAACAACTGATACTAAGTCTTCCCTTCAGGAAAAAGGAGAGGCGACACAAGCCCACATGAGGTAGTACAGTTAATATAGCTGGCAAACGTGAAGGCAGACTCCAGAATGGCAGAATACTGTGAACCCTTGGGGCCAAAGATACTGGGGGGAGTCCACATTGTCTCACAGGCTCTTCTTCCATGAATTCTACCTGGTACTCACAGAAAGATCAGGAGCCCTAAGAAGTACCCTCTGTGGTGCAGACCAGGGTAGGGGAACAACAGCTCTGCACAAGGGGCAGAAATACCACCAACACCTTTCCCTTCTATCTCCACTGTAGAACAAAATTCCTTCAAGAATACAAGCTATCAAACTCAAGGATAATTAGTAAGTATAAAGAAAGTAACTGAATCTGTATTTAAAATTTTCTAAAAACTCTCAACCCCAGATGGTTTCACAGAAAAATTCTAATTCTATACCGTATCTTCAAGAAAATGGAGAAGGAACACTTCTCAACTCATATTGAGGCTAACATTACTGTAAAACCAAAATCAAAGACATAAGAAGAAAACCACTTGACAATATACCTCATACACAAGATGTAAAATTCATCAATAAAATTTCAGCAAATTGAATCCAGCAGTATATAAAAATAATACATGGTTAATCTGAGGAATGCAAGGCTCTCTTAATAATCAATGTAACCTCTGTAACAGACATAACACAAAATACTGTATGATTGTTTCAACAGATAGACAAATTTGACCAAATCGAAGATTTATAATAAAAACACAGCAAATGGGGCACCTGGGTGGTTCAGTGGGTTAAAGCCTTTGCCTTCGGCTCGGGTCATGATCCCGGGTTCTTGGGATCGAGCCCCACATTGGGCTCTCCCCTCAGCAGGAACCCTGCTTCCTCCTCTCTCTGCCTACTTGTGATCTCTGTCAAATAAATAAAATCTTTGAAAAAAAAAAAAAAAAAACCACAGCAAACTAGAGACAGAAGTGAGATGCCTTAACCCTTTAATATGGTTAAGGTTAATATGGGTTTAATAAGGTTTAATACGGTTAAGGTTTAATATGGTTAAAAGGTTAATATGCCTTAGCCTTTTAATAAAGGGCATATACAACTAATATCCTACTTAATGGTGAGAAACTGAGTGCTTTCTCCCAAAGATCAGTAATAGGTAAGAGTGCCCACTCACATTATTCCTAATCAACACTGAACTGGAAATCCTACCCAGATGAATGAGATAAGAAAAATATAAGATACATAGATTGGAAAGAAAGGTGTAAAACTATAATTGCAGAAGATAGGACTATCTATGTAGAAAATCTAAAAGGACTTGCAACAAACATTATTAAATGTTGTTTATTATTAACATTTATTATCAACATTAAATGTTGAATTAAAAATGAATTTGGGGGCGCCTGGGTGGCTCCGTGGATTAAGCCGCTGCCTTCGGCTCAGGTCATGATCTCGGGGTCCTGGATCGAGCCCCGCAACTGCCTCAGCAACCCTGCTGAGTGGAGAGCCTGCTTCCCCCTCTCTCTCTGGCTGACTCTCTGCCTACTTGTGATCTCTCTCTGTCAAATAAATAAATAAAATCTTTTTAAAAAAAAAATGAATTTGGCGGGCGCCTGTGTGGCTCAGTGGGTTGCGCCTTTGCCTTCGGCTCAGGTCATGATCTCAGGGTCCTGGGATCAAGTCCAGCATCAGGCTCTCTGCTCAGCAGGAAGCCTGCTTCCTCTCTCTCTCTCTCTCTCTCTCTCTGCCTGCCTCTCTGCCTACTTGTGATCTCTGTCAAATAAATAAAATCTTTGGAAAAAAATATAATCTATAAAAAAATAAATTTGGCAAGGATGAAGAACACATCATTATATGAAAGTCAGTTGTATTCTTATTATGAGCAATAAACAACTGGAATTTGAAAATAAGAAACCTAGCAGACACCACCTTAACCAACTGCTTCTGGTGGTATTCTTCCCCAATTTTTTTTGAAGATTTTATTTGTCAGAGAGAAAGAGAGAATGTGTGCGCAAGCAGGAGGAAGAGCAGGCAGAGGGAAAAGCAAGCTCCCGTAAGCAAGAAGCCCAATGTGGGACTTGATACTAGGACGCCGGGATCGTGACCTGAGCTGGAGGCAGATGCTTACCCGACTGAGCCACCCAGGCATCCCTTTCCTCAAAATTTTAACCTTAGTCCAATCATGAGAAAACATCAGGTAAATCCAAATTGGGGGACACTGTACAAAATTTCTGGCCATTACTCTTCAAAAGTATCAAGGTCATGAAAGACAAAGACAGAAACTGTCCAGAACAGAAAAAACACATTAAGTGGGAAAACTGAGGGAATGTGAATATGCAGTTTGGTTAATAGTATGGTATCAATGTTAATTTCTTAGTTTTTTTAAAAAAGATTTTATTTATTTATTTGACAGAGAGATATGAGAGGCAGGCAGAGAGAGAGAGGGGGAAGCAGGCTCCCTGCTGAGCAGAGAGCCCGTTCCGGGGCTCGATCCCAGGACCCTGGGATCATGACCTGAGCGGAAGACAGAGGTTTAACACACTGAGCCACGCAGGCACCCCAATTTCAATAGTTTTGATAAACATATCATGGTTATGTAAAATATTAACATTAGAGGAAGCTGAAGGAAGGGTATACAGGACTTATGATACTTCTGTAAATACACAATTATTTCAAAAGAAAAAGTTAAAAAGAGGAAAAAGACTATTACCATTTGCTACTATTTATACAAATCAGACAATAAAGAATACCATGAAGTTAATATAAAAAGTAAACTGGCTGCAAAAGCTTGTAAGATTGTCATCCATAATCTAATTTCAATTTCATCAAAACTACTCACTGTTGTCATAAAACTCCTATGAACTTATAAAAACACATTTATATCCTTAACAAATCCATTTTTGTTGTACATATTAAAGATCCCTACAATGATTTCAATTGGAAAAAACATGAAACTAACAAGGTCTGACCACCAAAATTTTTATACTACCCAGTAATGACTGAGATAAATATGACTGATAACTTAAAAAGATTTGAGGTTATCTGTACTTTTGATAAGTTAGCTTTGACTGGGAAAAAATGTGGACAATGTGATAATATCTAATAATGGATATCATTTAGACTGAAGGTATTAAAAAATATATCACTAAAATTAGTTTGGAAGACTAAATTAAAGAAAGGAAAAGAGCTTGCTGGCTTTATGAGCAAGCAGGATACCTGAAGGATATTAGAGGATGATGCCCATGTTTGTATCTCCATATTACACCGTATCAGACAGCACCTTAACACTACCAAGTCATTATTTCTACTATGGAGACATCCTTGCAACACAAGAACTGAGTGACAATTGGAAAAAGGAGAAAAGTAAAGGGGCACTGAAAGTAAGGAGAGTATTCTTGAATGACGAGAAGAGAAGAAAAAAAAAAACTAAGGTTCCTTAAAGGCAAGGTTAGCCACTCCATTATGTACAGATTGGAAAGAACAGGGACAAGAGGCAATGAATAAAGAGAATGTCCTAATGGGCATTCTGGCCCTACTCCTTGGCTGTTCCACAACAGAATGCATTTGGCCTTTCTGAACTCCTACACCCAAATCTACACATTGATGCGATACAACAGAGATCCATTTAAAGGCTAATAGTCTACCATGCAATCACAATAGGAAAAATATTCCTGAATCTTTAATATAAAGTAATTTTGGTGGTATCAACTTACTAATAAAACAATCAGGAAACAAGGTAAGTATTAGCACATTTCCTGCCACACAGTGAGTGCTTCATAAGTATTAGCTATTAGCAGGTAGGAGACTTGGGGAAGAAGGGAGGAGACGGAAAATAAAAAGAACAAAGAGGAAGAGAAAGGGAAGGTATGTCTAGCGTGCAGTATTTTTTAGTCCTGGTTCGCACTATCACAACATATTTAATGCCCTCCTCATATATGTGAACCAAAAACACTCTTATCCTGTAGGAGATGCTTCTTCATTTCCAGAGTTCTTATTTAAAGAAAATACTGTTACCACCTTTTGATAAGAAGAAAGAAAAACAGTCTCTTTACACTCATTTTTATTAAACAAATAAGTCTGGTAGTGGAACTCTTTTTATTTAATGCATAAACATATAAGTCCCTTTGTTAGAGAAATTGTACATATTGGTGAGTATGGTCAATGGTCACATCTATGGGTTAATTGTTTAAAAATCAGAAACAATAATTAGGATAGATTCTATGCTCTCTCCGTTACATTGTGAAGTGTCTTGTGTAGTCATATTCTATTGTTGGAATGACAGCTTGTACAAACTTCAAGAAAATTAGAAGATACCTAAAGGTCTTTAGCTAAGGAAAACAGATTGGTAAATGGTACTATGATTTAAACTAACATTGTAGTTATCCTATTTCTCAGAAAAAATATGTAAGATAAAACCTTAAATCAAGTATATTAAAAAAATTCACTCATGCAAGTTTGTGTCTATTCAACATGAGGTTCTCTATAACTTTAAGACTGCTTGACCCACTCCCATTTAACATTTGAATGTGAAACTTCCTAATGAGTTCACAGGAGCCCAATTATTTTGATATAAAAATAAGGACAGGGGTGTTCATATTTAAGTGAGTGGGAAATGGTTCCTTTACTGTTAGTCTGCTAGGTTATGTTAGAAACAAGGCAACTTTTGCATTATTAGCACTACATTCTAAACAATGAATCTTGGAACACTGAAAAAATAAAGTAAAATTTTTTAAAAAATTTAAAAAAAGAAAGAAAAAAAGGCAGGGTAAAGAATATAAAAGCACTGAAGCAAAAGAGAAAAAAATAAAGTGGAAACCATCTGTAAGGACTGATTCTAAGTCAGTTTATGTAAATAACTTGGAAGACTCTGTGTTTAATAATGACTCATCAATGCCCCCAATAAACATTAAACTCTTAATATTTCCAAGTACTGTGGAACACGGAAAAAAAATCAGGATTTTATTTGAAAGAGTCCATTGTAGCTACAGTATCTTCCAAGTTGCTACCTAGCCTCCAATACAGAAATGAATGCTCAAGTTATGCATCACACAGTTTCAGGAGTAAATCTGGTTTGGACCAAAAGTTCCTGGTTTCTTTCAATGTCAAATATGTCCTCTGAGGAATACCCTTTATTAGCAATTTAGTTTATCTGTAATTCCAAGAGAGGGGTGACCCCTCACAGTCTACATCTAACACTGAGTGGCATGAACAATCAAATGTAACATCAATCTAGCACCAAATTAATTCAAATTATTTGGCATCTAAATCACCGATTTTGGTTGCTTTTGATGAATCCATGCTATAGGTATATGTACTTCGGTATCCAACAGTTGACTTAGTTTCCTCTTGTCAACCACAGAGAAAGTAGGAAAATCATAGGAAGATGTGCGAAGGGTGCTTTTATCTGGAGAAAACTGTATTTTAAGAATATCTGAAATACACTTTGTGTGTTTTACTTTTTAATTAACCTATCTGTTAAACTGAATTCTTTGCTTCAGAGACCTTAGAATGACACAACCTAAGTTTACTTTTACCTGAGGGAAGCACATTTTTTGTTAACAGTTAAATTGGAAATATACTTAGGGAAAAGATACTCATGTGTTATCTTCTAAATTAGTAGGTTACTCTTCTTTCATCAATAAATTATGCCCACTGAGTTTCTTTTCCATCAAGAGCAAAGGTTTTATATTCAAATGCTCTTAGCCAGTGTCTCTTGGACAAACAAAAGAACTGGCAAGCTGCTGCCTAGAAAAGCACATACTGACCTGAGGCTCTGTAACAAGGCAGAGCTGACTGGTGCACACAGGGACATGTGCTAACCAACTAACAAAGCAGAACTATCACAATGTAACATTTCCCAAATAAAGACTTGTACTAAGACTTCCATTACAAGGGGCTAAAACAAGTTATAGGTACTGTGGCACTAACACTGTACCAGTATTTCCCAAAGAGGAAAAAAAAATCCTAGGAACCAAATATAGGTAAGGATACATATGAACACCAAGTTCTCCTCCTCCTTCTGCAACAGTCTCAATGATTTTCTTCATCACCTCAGCATGCCTAAAAGCAAAAGAACAAATAAATATTATTAGCATAGATCAATTAGATCAAAATAGGAAAAGCAAGTTTTTGTTTGTGAAGAAATCTACCTTATTAGTGTCAGTGATTTAATTTTAACATAATAGTTATATTATAAAATATTTTTCTCCCAACAAGTCAGGTTGTTGAGAGTCATATACAATGTTTTATTGGAACACAGGCTAAATTTTTAAAGTCTAATCATAGTCAAAACACAACAGCACTGGTTTTCCTATAACAGGAGTGGGAGGAGTGGGGGGAAGGGGTAGCACAGCAGAAAACCAGAGAAAGAGAAATCATGCCAGGGTATAATTGCAGAGCAAGGACTGTCTGCTCTAAGAAACAAACAAGAATCAGACCAGGAAAATTCAAAAAAGCTACATGGTGACAGCTAATCAATAAAACAAGGACATACTTAAAATGCTATCATTTTGACTATTCAAATATTTAGCAGAGAATAAGCCAAAATTGGGTTTTAAAAAATTTAACTTGGTTAGAGTTAAGAAGTTCATATATTTTGTCTTTGTCTTAACGCATATTATAAAATTTATCTGATTTTCTTTTCCTTTTTTTTTTTTTAATTTGAGACAAAGAGCGCACGAAAAGCACGGGGTGGAGCAGTGAAGGAGATGAAAAGCAGTTTCCCAATGAGCAGGGAGCCTAACACAGGGTTTGATCCCAGGACCCCGAGATCATGACCTGAGACGAAGGTAGACCTGACCCGAAGGTAGACGCTTAACCGACTGAGCCACCCAGGCACCATCTGATTCTATTTAGAAATAATTTCTTGGCTTTATAAAAAGAAATATGTTTATCTGAAGTTTTTGCCCAATCCACAAATCTCTTCACAGTCAACCAGTGTCTTTCCTTTGCTACAGAAAAATGATATATCAAAGTAATTGCCTAAGTATATCAACTGAGAAAAAGGCAGTGCACAAAAGAATGATCTTTTAGATATAGTCTGGCTTAAATAATGCTGCTTCAACTTTTATGAGTATAAACTTCATGACAGAGGCAGGCAACTTAGAAGATGAGAGTAAATGTATCAGCTCCAAGAATCCAAAAACATAATCTGATGGCAAGGCCTAAAATGTACTTGAAATCTCACCTTACAGACCCCCAGCTTTTTGGCCCTATTGCATTACATTGCATAACACAGTCATTTATTAACATGTTTAATATTAATTACCAGTTAAACCTCTTCTTTCTTTTCTGGACTAAAATTTACACCTGAGAGAGACATGCCTCATTTTGAGGCATGCCCTAAAACCTCAAACCACTAAAGGAGCAGGTAGAGTAAAATAAAAACCTTCTAGATAATAAAAAACTAAAACTAATGACTCTTGAATTACTTTTCAGTTAGCAATATTAACAACTCTTGACATAAAAAAAGCTAGAAAAATGAACAAGGCTTTCTATATGATAAAATTTGAGAATCAAGAAGCTGCAAAAAATGAGAAAATATTAAAGAATTTTTAAAAACTAGAATGTTGCATCAAATTAGTCAACGGAATACCAAATTTTTCATCTCAAAAATATTGTTACCAGAATTTCTCAATGTTTTGCAAAAGCTACCCATTAGAAATAACTGAACAAATCATGGATACAGACTCCATTTACTCATTTGGCCCTGAAAAAACACAATGATAAAAAGAAAATCCCAAATTATAAAATGCACTTGACTTAGTAGGGCTGAACATCTCTCAACTGAAGAGTAAAGGAAAAGAGAACTCTGCATACATCTCCCTTCGCTAACCAATAAAGAGATAAATAGGTCATGGAGAAAAACACAAAGATAACTTCATACTCCACATTCATAGGTGGCTACATCACAATAGGGCAAACCAAGTCTAAATGATGGGTATTTTTTAATCTAAAAAACATCTTCTAAATTATTTTCAGAGCTAAAAATAGTAGTAAAATCACAAAGATCTAAACTATAATTAAACACAGAGAGAGCAAAAAAAATTCTTAATGAATTTAACTTAAATTGGTGACTTTTTCCTTTTTCTTTTATGTTTTAGCATAAGAACATTTCTACAAAAGACAAAAGAGAACTATACTTGCTTATTACATTTCTTCTGTCAGGGCACTTTGGATTCCCAGGTAATAAATCCATGAAGTACACACAACACACAACACACATACACACCTGCATGGGTGAACTGAACACATAGGAGGTGGTGGGAGATGAGGGTGATTTTCAATGGTCACTGTTTTCTTCACATGATCTTGACTGATGTCTTCATACATGTGTTCAACTGTTAAAGGCTGCCTTTGCTGAAACAATAAAAAAATGCTTTGAAATCACTGTTTAAAAAATTTTAGACCTAGACTTCCATGTTTAAAATATATTTATCTCCACCTCACCTGTAATACAGAATTCCAGACTATTTAGAACTACCAGACTTTTGGGGGGAGAGTTTATAATACATTTAGACCAGTGAAAGGAGGAGAGTGGAGGGATCTGTACATCAACGCTATGTGACTTCAGCCACCACCTAATGCAATAAAGATCCCACAAAAAAACAAGTTCATGGCTGTCAAACATTTTATAACTTTCTATTTCATCTTTTGGGTGTATTTCGCTTTACTTTTTTGCTTCTCATTCATAGTCGTAAGAATGACGGTTAAAGCAAGTTAATTTTATTTCAGTTATCCTTTAATTCAATTAATAGATTAGTTAAAAAACGGTTTTCTGTCTTAAAGAAAAAAAACACATGCCAATATGATCATTCTGTAAATGCTTTATACATCCATCAAATTTAATACCCAACAAATTTAATATAATAAATTAAGTTCAATTTCCCTTATATTTTGAAGGAGTAACCCTCAGGGACCAAGCAATAAACACTTAACAGATTATTTCTGTTTGATTCTTAGTAGTGTTATTGTCACACAGAATAATTCACAGTTTCTTCAAAGTAAGAATCAAATTCAATATTAATCATGAAACTGTAAAACAAATGACTTCTAAAATTTAAAAGGCAACAATATATACCCACAGACCTAATGATAAAGAAATTAAATCCAACAATTTGAAACATTTACATTAAAATATATTTTCTGTTTTTACCTCATCATAGCCAAACAACCATAATCGTGGTGTCTGGTAATATTTATCATAAGTGATATAAAGGTCATAAGTTCTTGTTTGCAAAATAGCATCTTCACCTCCAGCATCAGTTTTAGTTTTACAAGCTTCTACTATTTTCCTTGTGTCTAGGGTAGCCTGGCAATATAGGAAGAAATTTAAACCCATTAAAATCAGTATGAATGTGATAATTAAGAAAATATTTTTCCCACCCTATATATTTTTTTCAAAAACAAACAGAAAATAAAGCCAAAGCTAAAACATTATATACTATAACCAATACAAACATATAAATAAAAGTTTATTAGAAAGATCAAGATACTATTAGGAATACTAATTCCCAAGCTTATTCACTAAATGTTAACTAAAAACTCAATTTACAAACCTCATCTGTTTCCAACAATCCACTTTCTTCATATTCTGTTTAAAAAGCAACAAAAGATTAATCAAGTTCAAGAAAATTTCCTAAACCAAGCTATATATTACTTCAGAGTATCATTCAAAATCTGGGCTTTTGCTTTTGTTTTTAACTGAAGGTATCGAAAAGGTATGAGGGACCTGATTTTACACTTCCAAAGCAGCAGATTCTTTAACTGACACAGCCAGAGAAAGTTAGCTTGCCAACGCCTGATCCAAGCTACAGCCTATTAGCAATACCGAACAGCATCCTGATACTGCAGACACTCAGTGACTCCATCGCATACACAAGGCTATTTACATAATTGCATAAAATGTGCTGATTAAAATCATCATAGGCTTCCATGTTGCTGAATCCAGGGGTAAATTCTCAGTTTTCATCTTAACTGATGTCTCACAGGGCCATCTGGATGATTTTGTCCCACCTTCTTTGACACTTTCCTTGGATGTTAAAATATTATATTTTCTGGCTGTGTCTCTCACCTCACAGGCTTCTTCTCCTTTACTATCTTCTATGCTCGGTTCTTCCTTAGCTCAACTTTTTAAAACTCTACAGTAGCCAAGGGCTCAGTTTCTGGACCTTGTCTTTTCTCTATCCACTTACTCCTTTGATGATTTCATCTAGTCTCAATGGCTTTAAATGCTAGTAATTCCCAAATTTATCACTGGCTACACACTTGGATATTTATTTACTTAGAGCTCTACTGGAATGACTAACATATGTCGCAAATAGCACATATCCAAAACTGAACTCCCAAACTCTCCATCCAAAGCTATTCTAGCCCTATAATTTTCCTTATCTCAGTTAAGACACCTTTCCAGACACTGTCACATATCCTTAGAGTCAGACTTGACTACTCTGTCTCTCTCATGTTACTCCCCCTCAGCAGCAAATCCTTTTGAATCTATCCTCAAAATATGTCCAGAATTTTGTTTCTCATCACTTTCAAAATTACCACTTGAGCCTAAGTTATCATTTCTTGCCTAGATTATCAAAACAGCCTAACTATTGTCCCTAAACCTCTTCAATCTGTTCTCAATACAGCATTCACCGTGATTCTGTTAAAATGTTGTATGGCATTCTAAGTTCCTTTTCTACTTAGAAAAACCCTCTAATGGCTTCTCATTTCACTTCATTAAAGCCAGGGCCCAAGGTTATCTCACTGACTCCATGCCTTACTTCTCTGCTTCTGCCCTTGCTCCTCTCTGAACACAGCATATTTATTTTTTTAAAGTAAGTTCTACACCCAATGTGGGGCCTGAAATCATGACCCTGAGATCAAGAGTCACACACTCTACAGACTGAAACAGTCAGATGCTCCTGCTTATGGTATTTTGTATACACCACACAAGCTCCTACCTCAGGGCCTTTGCGTAATTCCTTAGATATCCAAATAGCCTGTTTACTCACTTCTTGCCAGGCTTTACTTAAAACTCATGTTCTCAATTGGGTTCTTCTTGACCAACCTATTAAAATAACACTCATCCTTTCCCAAGTCTTTCTGTCCCATTCCCCTCCTTCATTTTTCTCCCTAACTCTTATAACCATCTAATATAGCATCTGCATTGCTTATCTATTATTTTTTCTATGTCTCCCATAACTAGAATATAATCTCCATAAGATCACATCTACTGTTTTATTTCTAGCACCAAGAACAGTACCTGATATATAGATAACTATCCTGCCCAGTGTTTATTGAACAGGGAATGAAAACTGCCTGTTATAGTAATTGTTGTTATATCACCTGCTATACCATCAACACTGTTTTTTAAACAATATCCCATATAAAGCAATTTTTTTCTTTAGCTCTGTCCAAGAGAAATGTAACAAAACACACTAAAAGGCTGTCAGGTATTTAAGGCAGTCCCATAGCTTGTACTCTAAAAAGAATGCTTTACTCATAGTATTCTGCCTACCCTTCACCCCAGCTCAGATAACTGTACACAATTCAGACTGATGGAACCCAGAAACTATTTGTATAAGAAGGTGGTGCTGACAATTATAAGACATTCAGGTGCAAGTGAAAATAAAAACATGTACATTTGAAGTTCAGGAGATCTGGACTGGAGGCTTAGATATGAAGCTGATCATAGAGATGGTATGTGAGGTTGCTGTGAGCAATTTGGGTTACAAGTAATTCGTTTTATTTCTTCAAAGGATGGGGAGTTTACCATAAAAATAAGGACAAAACTCTTACTAGAATTCAGGAACAGATCTACACCTAGGTTTCATGAGAACTTAAAAGTAATTTAAGAAACAAAACTTAAAAGTACTTTAAGGTGCACCTAGGTGGCTCAGTTGGTTGAGTGTCTGCCTTTGGCTCTGGTCATGATCCCGGGCTTCTAGGATATGATTGAGCCCGGAGTCCCAGTCAGGCTCCCTGCTCAGCTGGGAGCCTGCTTCTCCCTTTCCCTCAGCCTCTCCCCCTTGCTTGTATTCTCTCTCCCTCTCTAACAAACAAACACACAAACAGAAGAAAAGGTACTTTGAGTCAAGGCTACTCTGGCAATTTGGCTATGTGTCACCTCCTCATCCACAAACACTACTTGCTGTTTTGGTGCTTCAACTATACTTGGCACCATCTTCCACTTCTGCATGCTAGAGAACATTTCTATCTCACCATAAATTCTATGTATTTGGTTAAAAAAAAAAAGGAAAAAAAGAAAAAGAAAAAAGAAAATAAAATACACAATAAATGAGCAAACTTTGTTCTGCTCTGAAATAGTTTTTAAGAATTAGCTTAAGAATCTGCATCTTCAAACTTTTAACTGCATTAAAGATTTATGCCTACGATGTATCCCACTGGAAAGAATGCTTTCAAGGCTATGTCCTAGGTAAAGTACAACAGTCCAAGACTGCTCCGCACTAACTAAATTTAAACTAAAGAAAATTCTCTCTCTGTTTAATGTTAAAATCTAGAACTCAATGGAGTACAATTCTTGTCCACTTCAATTATAAATATTCCAAAATCAACATTCTAGTGTGATTAAAGAAAATCTAGAACATAAATACCTTCCATATCTGCAGCTTCTCCTTCATCTTCTTCTTCCTCCTCCTCACATATTGCTGTGCAATCTTGAAGTTTTATACTGTCCTTTGAAATAAATTATATTTAAAGTCACTTAAGTATGTCCATTAGTTCAAACACCAAACACTCATGTGTCACCACGTGTAAACCACTGAGAAAATAAGAGTGGTAAAGACAGTTCTTATCGTCAAGAAACTCCTATTCCAGTGGAGATGACAAACCCATAAACCAAATATGAAAAGTGATGTGCTAAGTGCTGTCACTAAAAAATATAAAAAATATCATAGAAGCACCAAGAATCACCTAAGCTAACAATTTAACGATTTTTGCACTTCCAAAAAATAGTATTTTTGTTTAACCAATTCATTAATATTTGGAAACTGGTTCAGAGTTATAATTTACATACATAATTTATTTAAAGGAGAAAAAAGATACATATTTGTAAATCACAATACATTTGTAAGTTAAACTTACAAATTATTAGTAAATAGTTAAACTATTATAAGTGAAACATATGCTAATTTGTGAACAATATTTTAGGCTGAATTAAGTAAAACTATCAGACTTTAGTTATTATAACATGTAAGATTTCAGTTGATTTTTTAAACTATATTTGCACTACAATAAAAGAATAATACCAAAGACAAGCCTAATACATAATTATCATTTCACAAAATCAATTATTCTAAAAATCTGAAGTCAATGTAGTAAAGTAAAAAAATTGCACATTAGTTTCACCTAATGTACAATTTTACTTAGAGAAGACTCCATTTGCCAATAGAAACTTAAGTTGTCTGTTATCATTACCACACCCAAAATGTGAAACCATAGATGATAGTATCTGGATAATTATTAGATGAGCCAGTATCTAACAAACTAATCACTTAGGGAAATTTTAATCATGTTGATGTTATGGTGATCACACTTGAAACAGAAGAATACAGTAGAAACCAACAAGAAAGATTAATACTTGGGTCTGAACAAGTATCTTAAGAAATTATAAAAAATAATGTAAATTTTATATTAAATAGGAAATGACAGGAAAGACATTCAAATTGTACATTATTCTAAGCAGTCAGCCTTTAGTATGATATATGAATGTTAAGTGGGATACCAAGTACCATATTAACCATTATTGCATTTTTAAGAAGTTCTTGAATTACCATAAACCTATCAACAAATGCTATCCACACTACTCTGCCATTTATCATTCCCAAAGTCTGAAGTATATACAATTAATGGCTGGAGTAAATAAGATTTTCTGAAGGAGCAAGAGCCATTTTGGTGATTTCTCTTTAGTTGTTCAAATTCTCCAAAAAGAAGAATTTCAGAAAGATGAATTTTCAGGCCAATGAACTGAAACTTAATCCCTAGCAAGCATAAAATTGTACATTGAAAAAAATGAAAAACACCTGTTTTAGTTTCTAACACTTCCTGTTAGGACCCAGTTATGAATCCCAAAAGTTCCAAATGACAAAAACACACAAAAGAGAGTATCTAAAACTAGTAACTCTTGTAGTAAATGTTTCATAAGGACAAAAGAAAGTCAATTACTCTGTCCAAATATTCTATCCTCAAAGAGATCTGTTAACAAAATAATTAAGCAAAGATAAGGGTAAAGGCATTTTGTATTATTTTCAAATCACTTCAAACAAATATAAATATATAAAAACAACTGCAATCATTTTCTAGTATGAATAGAAAATTTTCAAGGAGAAAAATTTCACCCAGTTACAGATTTTTACTCCCCTCCCCGTAATAAACCATACAATAAAACCTAACTGATTTAGCTTTCACTCAGTCAAAACACATTATTTTTTGGATGATGTTAAAGATTTACCTTAAAATTTTCAAAAACAGAATCATCCATTCAAAATAGCAGTAAATTAAGAAACCGTAGTACGTAAACCTCAAAAGCCTCCATTTACAGAACATTTGGTACTTGTAATTAAAAATAAAAAGCTATTTCTTTTAAACTAGCCTAGGAGCCTTCCCAATTGGTGAAAATTAGTAGTTTTTACCAGTTACAATCTCAAAAAAATTTTTTTAATCAAACAACAGACTAAAAAAATAAGCGCTGGGAAACAGCAGTTTTGATATAGGAAAGTGAGAGAAGAAAAAAACAACTGGAATTTTAAAAAGCTTGAAAATAATCAGTTTGAATAAGAATATATATATATATATATATATATATACACAAATAATTATGTCACTGAATTTACAAATGTAACTAATTAACCAGTACCTTGCTTTCCAATGTAATCTCCTTAACTGCTTCGGTTATTCCTGCAATACCTGTTTAAAATTCAAAAAAACTGAAATAAAATTGTAAACATCTTTCATTTACCAGATTCGAGAAATATATAAGTGCTTAAAATTACCTAAATTCTCACAACTGCTCTGAAAAGAGGAGGCAATGTTAGTAGCATTTTATAAATGAACTCTAAAAGGAGTAAAACCAAAAGCACTTTTTAAATTGAAATAAAAAAACAGCAATGTGATATTTTACTATGAATTATATTCTACTCTATCACTCATTTATTATTCCTCATTTACTTTCCCAGTATGAGTCTCTATCCAATACATATTCATTCTCAAAGTGAACACATTAGACTATAGGACTCATATTTATTTTTATTCAAAAACACATCAAAATTTTCTCAAGGAGATACTAATGTAATTTGTTTCAGAAATCTAGGACATCCAGAAGTAATAATATCATATCACATTTATATGGGGTTTTCTATTTTACTGTTTCCATAGCTTATTTCAGCCTTACAAACACTATCTTTTGAGGTAATTAGTCAATCATTTCTCCCTGTGAAGAAACGAAGTCTCCAGAGAGGAAATAACTTACTTGAGTCTCATAGTTAGTGAAGAACTCAGGATTCAAATCCACATGTGCTAACTTTTAGTTCAATATTCTGTTCACTGCTCCTCATTAAGCAACCACCTTGAACCTACTTGTGTCAATGAAGGTGGCACTAAGCAGATGGGGGCACCACAACTCAGCTAAATAATATTTCTAACTCAAAATACATGTCGCTGTTTTTAATTCGAAAATTCAACAGGATGAAGTACATTAATGAGAAAAAAAAAAACCCTACATACAAAATAAGCTTTGCCCCTTTGTTAATCTTCTAAAACCTTTATATATCTGTTCAAAATCTCCAACCTGAAGAATAACTCACTTTCACTAATAGAAAATGTCAAAATCCACAGCTCTAACATAAAGCTTTTACTTCACAGTTTTTCTATAAATTACTACATAATAGATCTGATTATTTCGTAACAATAAAACCCAAATCTTAGCACAATGAATTGGTATTACAAATGATTCACTGAATCTAGTACATAGATAAAAAAAAAAATAAACCTCTTTAATCCATCCAAATATAATAATGTAATAGTATCCGACTAAACCAGACTCTTCTAAGAGTAGGAGGACATATTGGCAAAGGAAAAATAAGCTCAAATGACTCTAATGAGAGTAACATTCTCAAGTACGGTGATGATTAATTTTATGTCACCTTGGCTAGGTTATCCTGTCCCAATGCTTGGTTAAATGCCAGTCAGGATGTAGCTGTCAGGGTGTTTTTTAGATTTTAACATTTAAATTCATAGACTTTCAATAAAGTAGATTACGCTCTATAACATGGGTGGGCCTCATCCAATCAGCTGAAGGCCTTATAAGGAAACACTGAGGTGCTCAGGAAAAAGAAAGAATTCTGCTTTCAGACTGTCTTCAGACTTGAGTTGAAACAATCAATCCTCACCTGGATCTTCAGCCTGCTGGTCAGTTCATCCTGTGAACTGCATTCTTGCTAACTCCCACAATCATGTAAGCCAATTTCTCAAAATAAATCTATCTATATCTACATACCTATATCTATATACACATCCAATTTTTCTGTGTCTCTAGAGAACCATGACCAATACAAGGGCTAAGAGAAATGAAAGAAACCTATGAAAAGCAAGGATGAAGCAAAAAGAACTGAGGTGAATAAGGAACCAGGCACATGACCTTCTAAGTTAATCGGAAGCAGTGTTTTAATCAAATCACAATATAGTTTAAACTAAAATTCTAAGGATAGCTCTCCAGCAGGGCAAACATTTTTCAATTCTTGAATTTCTGTAATAGATTTTCATCAATCCAATCACACTGACGCCTACTTATTTCTGTAATGAATGCCTTTGTAAATATGCACCTAGATTTTGAGCTAGTGATTAAGAAATAGAATACAACCAGACATCAGAATAAGTCATTTACTTGACACTAGAAACACAGTGCTATAACTGAGGGCTCTAGTTAGTTAGTCCACTGCCCACATCTTCCACCACAGGAAAACTAAAGCAGAGCAGCTGAACAATTCTGGAAAGGTCAAAAGATAAAAAGTCCATCTACCAGTCTCTCAGTGGCGGCAATAGGATGATTTTTTGAAATCATTTTAAAAAATTGTTCAATCTACTATTTTCTCAAAGCCTTGACATTAACACTAACCATCAAGAAAAAAACAAGTTTCAAATCAAGAAGCCCAAGCCCTGAATCTGTGCCTGTATCATCACAAACACATGATAGTGTCCTTTTTTAAAAGTAGAGGAAAAACTGACCTCAGAAGGTAGTTTTTCCTGAGCAGATTACTTAGCCCTCTGACTACTGCAGTGCGTCTCAACTGATGGCAGCAATTTTGCCCTTCATGGGATATCTGGCACTGTCTGAGGGATTCCGCGTTATCACAACTGGGTGGATACTACTGGTATCTGGTGGGCAGAGCCCAGAGACGCTGCTAATCATTCTGCAATGTACAGAAAATGCTACATCGAAGAATCACGTGGCCCAAAATGTTAGTAGGGCTAAGGCTGAGAAACCTTGTTCTAGCACTACTTCTGGTATACTTTCTAGGACTTCGAGGGAGAAAACTTACTTTTTAGTATTCTCAATTTAAACTCAGGACACGTTTTCCCTCATTAAAACTAAGTCATAATGGCATTTATATAACTATGGAAATTAACTATTAACTTATACTTAACTATGAACTAACATTAACTCATAGTACTTTATATAATATATTTATATAACTATGTAAATGCAGATTAATATATGCTGCTAAGTTAGTATAGCTAAGTTAGTATGGCTAAGTTAGTATAGCCATAGCAGCATATGCTAATGTACATTTACATAGTTATATAAACATAGTGGCAAACTAGGTTTTTAGGACTTGAAATAAAAATTCATCTTCAGACTTACAAACAAATTCTGCAAACATACACTTACAAAAGGTTTGAATTTAGTCAATTGTTTTAACACAAATTTACTGAACAACTTCTGTACCAGATACTGTGATAGATATTGAGGATAGAACAGTGACTCTCTATCTAAGGAGTGTGGTCCTTACAATCCTCTTACAGTCATTCAACAAATAATTATTAACTACTTTAAAATGTCAGGTCTCTGAGTAAAATAAACACATATAGTTCCTGTCCTAAAGCTCATCATCCAGCAATGGAATGACATGTAAATAAGAATTCTAAAGCAAGCTGTATGCATACTCAGCAATTCTGTCCTTCTTATTTTAGAAATAAAGAAAATGATACAGGTATTTTCAAATTGCTACTAAAGTAGCAGTACTAGAGAAATTTGGTATACTCCAAGGGCATTTTTTCTTTTTTTCCAATTTGTCTTCCGGCTTCTTTTCAGGTAAAAAAAAAAAGTCTATTGGGACAACTATGCCTTATGTATCCTTTGTTTTTGTTGTTTTTAAATCAATACTGTAATAAAAGATTAGAAAATGTTTAAAACAATTTAAACTAATTATGTATTCTATTCTCCTCTTACCTGTGTTATGATAAGTATCTACCCATCCCCCATCACCATCATCTTCTTCAATGATAGCTTCCAATTCATCTGAATATTCCATCTGTTTGCACCGCTTGTAGCATGGCACTACAAAAAAAAAAGACAAGTACAGTTACTAGCACATAATTTACTTCATATAAATCTATTAGAAAAAAGATAATTTATTCCATTTTAAGGAAATATTATATTTCACTTCTAATAAAAGTGATTAAAAAGTTGTATTTAGCCCACAGACATATTAATGATCAGGTTTATCTTTCCCTAAATAGCTTTGTCAGAACACATGTAGAAAGGAAATTTTCTATGTATTCTTTACCCTGATGGTTTCTGAACAACAGCAGGCTACAGCCAGAGATGATACTGTTCAACTTCAGGCTAATGAATAATAAAACCTTATTTTAATAGCTTCACTCTCAAAACAGGAAGGGACTACCTGTCATTCTCAGGGGTGGTAGAGGTGACCTCCAGTTTGCAATGTTATAGTAAGTTTTAATATGTATTTCATAATTCATTTAAGTTTCAGGCATTTATAATGGATAAGCCAATGTAAAAATTCACTAAACTGCTACATTTTACCATCTTATACAATACTGGAGCCAAGTTTTTCATATATATACGTCAATTAACAGGTATTATTCATATAAGTCTAAAACTGAACAATTATAATGTAAAACCATGATAAGGTAGAGCCCAGAAATGGCTATTAACCTCTTGACTTTTTTAAAAAACAAGAAGGATATAAATGATCAATTCTAATAAGACATATGCTGTAGGAAAGAAAACTTATGTGTTATACATATTTTCCCTTTCTGTAATAGATTAGAAAAAAAATCAATGCACTTTATGTGATCTGATAGGGACTATAACAACCTTCTCAAGCTATTTTCAAATTAACTTCATAAATGAGAAACTAGTAGTTTAAAAAACATTTTTTGTTCCTAAAGACAATCTTTCAAAGACACAATGGATAATAAATCCTTAGCTTGGAACTTTTAGCTGTCAAAGATAGTATCAGTTTCATTTTTCATGACAAATGTTTACGTCTAAAGAAGATCAAAATCAAATAGCTAAAAAAGTTTATAATTATAAAGTCAACTTTTAAAAAAAGGCAACTGCAATTCCAAATTCCAAATTTGCTGGGGTCCATTCCTTCCACATCTTAAAACTAGACCTTTTTTGGCAAAAAGTAGCAAAAAAGGAAGGAGGTAAAAATGAATTAAGGAAAAATATACTCTAGCAATAGAACCCAGAGTTTCATCAAATTTCCAAATTTCTCTACGGCTTTAATCATAAGTTAAGATCAGTAAATACTAAGGTTTTGGGTGCCTGAGTGGCTCAGCTGGTTAAGCATCCAACTCTCGGTTTCAGCTCAGGTCATGATCTCAGGGTCCTGGGATTGGGCCCCACATCAGGCTCCCCGCTCAGCAGGAGTCTGCTGGAGATTCTCTCTTGTTTCTTTTGTTCTCTCTCCCTCTCTGTCTCTCTCAAATAAATCTTTAAAAAAAAAAAAAGCTAACTTTCTTCTGTTATTTTTTAAAAATATAACTCTGTGTAAAATTTACTAATATATGCAATATAATTCTTACCATTTTTGGTGACCAAAAATTGTTTGCCTGTTGGTAGGTATGCCTTCACTTTCAATTCTTCCCCGGTAGCCCTTTAAAAAGAGCAAAAAGCACCAAAATACAAGAACTATTTTAAAAAGCAAAGACAGAAGATATCACATGTAAATATCAAAACTACACAATCCACACTCTTGAGAAAACTGTTTTAGGACTAGTTTCAGAAGGATGTCGTTAAGTGATGTATGTCAGGGTATGGAAGAGCATAGCACTGTAAGTGAAATGTACTAAGAGACTCAGAGAGACTTAGAATTTAGATTAAATATCAAACAAAAAAGGCAGAATAATATAGAACTATTAAGCAATTATTATGTTTGCCTCTAAACAAAAAGAAAACATTGTTCCCTAGGGAGTATAATCTCAGACTTTTAATTCTCAAGTACTGCTCATCTTCAGATCAAGAGGAGGCAGAAAAATATCTGTAGGACATTACATAACAAAGTAGGTGGCTGGCAAAATCCCTGTTCCTGCCACTCGATTAAAACTGGAACAAAGAGAAAAAAGATGCTTTGAATCACAACATGATAATATTAAAAAATATGACTGAAAACAGAAAAAAAAAAACCCACCTTTCACTGAGTGTTTTTTAAGTATACGACTTAGAACTCTAACATGCATTATTATTTACTTCTCAGAAACCTAAGAGATAATATTAACGTCCCCATTTTAGCTGAAAAAAGTCAGACTGCTCAAGGTCAGAAAACCAGAATATAGAAGAGCAAGTGAATCCACGGCTCCTGCTCTTACACTACAGTCTCTGTGTGTCAGAAGCAGCTACACCATTTCTGATTTTTCATAACTACTCTAGATTATCTTACTAAGAATTTGTTCAAAGATTTGTTCAGAAGACTGCAGGTAACCTAATGGAACTGGCCAGAGACGGAGGGGCATGTGTTATCTGTCACAAACTTCTGAATAAAAATCTGCCTTATCAAAGCTTCAGTCTAAAGTTGAAACCATAGATCTGAGCACAAGATAAAGCCAGAAAAACACCTACTATCTTAGTAGCCTTCTAGACTTCTTTAGACCATTCTCAAGTGTCAAAATCAATAATGACATGGCGATGCCTGAAGTTCTGAGTGAAGAACATACAATAAGGTCATGATGACACTTGTAGACATGAAACTATAACATGGAAATAACCTGTTACTAGCACAGGTTTAAAATGAAATGTTCCTTTGGCCCCTACATTTTAGCCAGAAGTGTGGACACTGGAGTAGGGTATAGGTGAGTTCTAAATATTATCTCAACTATCACAATTCATAAAGTGAAACTATCCTGTCCATATAACATATTTCTGTAACAATACTATAAATTGTATGTCTGAACTAATCAAATAAGGACTATCACAAAGAAATCTGAATAAAATGTTTATTATATTGAAGAAAATCCCAAATTAGTTCCTTTTATTAAATAGGTATTATTTTTAATTTTATATACCTATTTGACATGAAACACATAAAAATTATAGACTAGAATGAAGCCAAATATAATTTTAATAATTTATAATCCAAAAAAATCAATCACCCTTACTAAATCATCAGAGAGCTGCTATGATATTAACTCAATTTTAAATATGAAATAGAAACGCACGTAAGGAAGACAAGGGCATAAAAATAAATGAAACTGACATTTTGGTCTTTTCTTGTTACATTAAGAAACAGTGTTCTGAAAGATAAAGAACAACTGATAAAAAGCAGTAAAACTATTTTGGGTTATAAGTCAAATACAAAAACTGAGAACAGAATAGGCCACAGATAAAAGAGAGTTCCAACTTTGGCTTAAAATAGTTTTAACTACTTAAGCTCTTTGAATATGAAGGAAAACATTATCAGTTCTAACTTCATTAAGTTTAGAACCTCTGTTCCCAAATTAAAACTATACCTTTCAACAACTGAAAAAGTGTCATTAAGGGAATTATAATGAAAAGAAAAAAGAATATAACAAGTTGAACTATTTATATCCAAACAAGATATAATTCCAAAACAATTCTAGCCTAATTAAAATAGCTCTGCCAGTACTAGGATCACTTTCTCAGCCATAGTCAGGTGGTTTTACCCTAAGTTCTTGAACGTAATGAAACAGCATTTGTTTTAAAACATCCTCTTATTATTCAGAATACTTAAAATATGTCATAAGATCTGGTAAGTTGCTTAAATTACTTTTTTTAATGTTACTTTTACAATTAAAAAAGTTAGTGAAAAAACAAAAAAATGTAAAAAATCTATTACCAAGCAGATTTCCAGTTACAAACTTTAATAAGTATCATGAACCTTCCTTTTCAGCCAATTCCTAAAATGGGAGCATACTTTGAACCTAATAGAAAGTCTTATGATTAAAAAAACTAAGGCTCTGCAAAATATCTGGATTTATTAATGTTATAAAAATATTCAGCAGACATCTTAATTTGAAAAAAATGAGCTGGTCTTAAAACATTATTTTTTAAAGATCCACCACAAAATCAGACCTAGACACTATAGAGAAAGAGAATACTAATAAAGGAAGTAAAGGCATTTATCTTAAAAATGTCTATCTTTTACTCTAACAGAGCAAATCAAAATAGGTATAACAGCCAATATGTCAGTCAGCCTTTATTTTATTTTAAGTATGCCTTTATTTTATTTTAAGTACGCCTTTATTTTAAGTATCACGGTCACACTGCTTAACAGAAAAATCTACTAGAACAGAGTTAAATTGGTCATTCTAAAGTTCATGCCCTAATCCATTTTGCAAACTGCTGCAATTATAATGTCATACATTTTACTAATTTATATTCCTGACTCAAGATTACTTACCATTGCCATGTTGGACAGTGGTGGACTAAGTGATCTCCAGCTGCCACAAACTATTCAGGATTTAAAAGGATATAAAAGAAAAAGGAAAAAGAAAAATTGAACATCACTGAATATAAGATGATAAAATACCGAAGTGATCATCCCATGTAAGCTTGATACCCAATTATCATATAAATGCAAACAGCACCAAACCTGCTCTACCACTCTGATGGCCCTTGATTATTATTAAAACTGCAAAATTTTTTACATCTATAAAATTTAAATTTTGGAAGAAAAAAAACATTGAGTGCTATTGATTTTAAATTCAATTTTTAAATTGGATTAAATAAGGCCAAAAGGATACAACATCATGAAATGAATAAAAGTAACACTGCAGGACTTAAAATTTCAAAAAAACCATTTTATGGATAAATAAGATGAAGACAGATTCCTGATAGGGGCTGAAAACTCAATGGAGATCTTTGAGAAAATGATACAGGCCTATGATGTCATAAGTTTATGACATCATAGAGCACATTTCTCTTTTTTTTTTTTAAGTTCAGATAAAGCCCATTTTGTAAGCTTTTTCACATTAACAAGAGTGACAAATGTAATGCCAAACAATGGGAAAAGTTAGAAGCAAACTGAATCCTCTAAGACTTTCTGGGCAGGTTGAACACCGCACAAGTTTTTGTTTTTCTTCAGGAATCAAAAACAAACACCTTAGACTTTCTGGGCAGGTTGAACACCGCACAAGTTTTTGTTTTTCTTCAGGAATCAAAAACAAACTCAGGAAGAAAGAGTTTAACCTTCTGAGAATTTCCACTATACATGATATACATTATATTTCTGTACGACAGAAATCCTGCTTATTCTTGAGAGCAGAAAATGAAAGAAAGTCTCTTAAGGGTAAGGGCAGTGTCCCAATTCGGGCAATACACATACATACTTTCCCAATTACTTCTATTTTATAATAGCTCTAACTTAAATTCATGTATTGTTCGTGGTTAATTACACAGCAAAAAAAAAAAAAATACAGTATTTTTAATCTTCCAATGTTTGTCTCAGAAAAGAATGTCTATATATAATACTCTATTTTCATTTGACAGTAAAATTTTATAAAGTAAGTTTTCTAAGAGTAATTTCTTTCAAGAGGATACATTAACAAGATCTAGCAGCATATTCTCAACAGCAACTTTTCGAATGTTTCTGTTCCTTTATTTCAAAGAATCTTATTATTATTTAAACTAGTTAGGTAAAGACAAAAACCCAAGTGAAAACGATACTCCCTAAGTTTTAAGCACTTTAGGTCACTGTAACCAGATGCTACCTTCAACTCTGTGGTTACCAAGAACTATTAGTCACCACCAAAAAAGGAGAATTTAATTCAACAAAATGCAAGCAAAACAAAGAGTTAAAAATTTAAAAATTCTTTAACGATACTGCCATGTCACAAGACTCTAATATTTTATTCCCTAATACCCCCAGGAACATCTATTAAAAAAATAATAGGGGCACCTGGCTAGCTTAGATAGCAGAGCATCTAACTCATATCTTGGGGTTGTGAATTTCAGTCCCATGCTGGGTGTAGAGATTATTTAAAAAATAAATTTAAATTCCTTAAAAATAACAAAACACCAGAAGGTAAGAAAAACTCTAAAGAACATAAAATTGCACAGATAATTAGTACATGTGTACATCTGCCCTCATTAGCAATGTTCATTATTGCAGGTTTCACATGCTCAAATGAAACAAAACATAAGGCAGACTCAAATTTCTCAATTCTCAGTATCACTTGCAGCAGCTTTCTCTTGGTGATTAAATACCATACAATACTGAATAACTCCAAGATAAAACCAGTTATAACATTTTGGTCAGCAACTTTACCCTTCAAGCTATTCTACTACTAATACTCTACCTAAGTCATACATATGTATATTAAAGTAATTTTAGTCAGGCAATTCTGTATTTGATAATGCCTACACCTTTTTAAACACAGTACTTCCAAAGAAAAGAGAGAGAGCTGGAGGATAATGGTCAGAAGCCCAGAAACAGTAAGAGAAAACAAATAAATAGATCAACTCTATCTGTTATCAGAAGCAAATTATCTCTTGTTTTCCTTCCTCTGGACTCATTCTAACTCAATGCGGTAACTGTACTCTATCTCAAGCCAGCATATGGGGTGGGTACCCAGCTGACCTAGTTTTGCCTTGCATTTTTTTTTTAAAAGAAGGAAATTCATAAACTACTTAATGATACACATTAAGTGTTATTCATTCTATGGTTAGTAGCTGTTTTAAAACAGCATAAATCTATCCAATGACCACAGACTTGCATCTCTAAGGTCAACCATCTATTTACCAATTAGTCATCCTCCCATAGATAAAGCCAAAGAGTGCAAGAAGAAAAGCATACTTCCATCCCTGCTCCTGATTACAGATAGTTTTAAGAGCCAAATCTAAATTACACCTCTGTTTGGCAAGAAAAGTTAACAATATCAAAACTTAGTTTTAGGGGCGCCTGGGTGGCTCAGTGGGTTAAAGCCTCTGCCTTCGGTTCAGGTCATGATCCCAGGGTCCTGGGATCGAGCCCCGCATTGGGCTCTCTGCTCGCTGGGGAACCTGCTTCCTCCTCTCTCTCTGCCTGGCTCTCTGCCTACTTGTGATCTCTCTGTGTCAAATAAATAAAATCTTTAAAAAAGAAAAAAAAAACAACTTAGTTTTATGTGGCATTCCAGGTATTAAACTCATTGTGCCTAAGGCAGAATAGGTCCTTTAGACAATGCCTAGACGAAACCCCTCATTTTACAGACAAACGTGAGGCTTGTGTCACAGCTTAGCTTTGCCCAAATCAGAAAAGAAGAAATTAAGAGAAATAGGTCTAGAAAGCAGATCTCCTATGTTCTTTCTATACCACCACGTGTCTTCACTAAAAATAAAGATATTTTTAGGTAACAGATTAATTCAGCACGCCATTCTCAGAATTCACAAAGATTTGGGACTCAAGAGATTCCATCACTATTGAAAACTGAAAGATCCATTAATTTTTAGGCTTGAGCTCTTAGAATTTACAGCAACAGTCAGATCGTAAAATGTGCCCCAATTCAAAATATTTCTTTCAAACAGTAAGTAAAGTTCTATTGCCAATGAGTGGTATTTTTAATGAAAGTTAAAGGTGATACTTAAATAAATTCTTTGCTATTTATTAAGACTAAAATATAAGTCTGATGCAGCCATAACTATTGAGGAAACTAGAATGTAAAAAGATGTTTAGAACAGTATTTATTTCTTGAGGGATAACAGAACAAACTACTTAAAGGAAAAAGAAAGCTTTTATTATATAGATTTGGTGAACAAGTGAAATGATTCCTCAAAACAAAGTTCTATGTTAAAAGTTCAATAAAACACAACTCGCCTATAAAATAGACATCAGTTTCAGCATTAAGCAGATTCAACATTACTTGGTTAGTAGAAACAGTAAAAGAATTGTGAGAAAAAAATCAGCATTAAGTATGTAGCAATAAAATATTTAAGCTAAATACTGAAAGAAAATTTAATACCCAAGCAATGAGCCAAAGTTCACAAATGAAAACCACAAAAACTCACGTTTGATGTAAACAGAGGAAAGACAACAGCAAAGACCAGAGCCCATTGTATAGCCTCAATATAACACAAATATGAGTGAAGGGTAAATGACCATCAGAATCTTTTCCATTCCCTCTCCCACCTCCATTTCTAAATAAAGAGGAACTACAGAGAAATATGAGAAGTGGCAAACTGAGAGGGAAGTTACATCCTCTTATGGGAAGTAGAAATCCCTTTTAAATTGCTAATAAAGCCAAAAGAATCAAGATTAAAGTTTAAGATGTTTTCTTATAAAGAAGAAAAACCTCCCAGGAAAATATAATTATAAAATATAATAGCTTCAGAAAATCTTTAACACTTACCTCTTCTGGGGTGATAACACCTGTTTCCTTAAACTTTGATTCCTAAAGAAAACAAAAAGAACAACATATTATATTCTTTCACTTTCAAATTAAAAATGTTTGTGGACAAGTATTTGCCTGGCACCCTTCCAGGCAAAAGAGCACATACAAAAAAAGAATCTATCACTGGTACCTAACCCCAAATAATATACAAGTCTAACGAAAGAAACTGACATTAAAATAATTACAATTTGATCATCGCTTTAACAGAGCAAAGCTCTTTGGAAAAACATTAAGCCATACAATGATTTTGTGAAGTGACCAAATATCTTTATTTTACAGAACAGTAAAGTTTTAAAAATGTTTAGGGACATCTTACTATTCAGCCAACATCTTCAACATCTCATTTCAATTGAGTAACATTAGAAACCAAATCTAGAAGTCATAAATCCTTTCCCAAAATTATCTCCAAGATACTGAGACAATATTCTCTCCTCTAAAGCAAAGATGCTATTTACCAGATGTTTCTAATTTTTTAAATTAAATGTAAGATTTTGTAGTAGAGGCTACAAAAATGGAAGGATTCATTGATGATTATTCATTCAACAAGTATTTACAATAACCATTATATACCAGACACTATTTGAAGTAATGGGGATATAGGAGCAGATAAAACAGACCAAACTCTTCCTTGTCCTCATAAGGAGTTTAAACTCTAGTGGTGTGAGGAAAGCCAAATGGTAATGAAAACCACAAGGAAAAAAAATGAGGCAGCAAGGAAACTAGTCATGGGTGGAGGAGAGAGATGGCTATTTAAATTAGGACGGGCGCCTGGGTGGCTTGTTGGTTAGGTGGTCAGCTCTTGCTTTCTGCTCAGGTCATGATCTCAGGGTCCTGGGATGGAGCCCCAAGGCATGGCAGGCTCCATGCTCAAGGGGGGGGGGGGGGGGGGGGGGGGGGGGAGTCTGCTTAAGGATTCTCTGTATTCTTCTCCTTCTGCTCCCCTTCTTCACACATACAGGCACTATCTCTCTAAAATAAATAATCTTAAAAAAAAAATAGGGGTGCCTGGGTGACTCAGTCGGTTAAGCGTCTAACTCTTGGTTTCAGCTCAGGTCTGATCTCAGGATCATGAAATCAAGACCTGCCTTGGGCTTCACGTTGGGTGTGGAATCTGCTTGAGTTTCTTTCTCCCTCCCTCCTCCCACCTCTCTAAAACTAAAAAAAGCAAAACAAAAAAAACCTAAACAAATAAATAAATAGGCTGGTTAAGAAAACAAAGGTTTCACTGATAGGTGACCTTAAAATGAGTAAGCCAGAAGGCTGTAAAAGAGCATTTTAGGCAGATGGTACAGCGAATACAAAAACCTGAGGCAACAGAGTATTTAATGGAGTAAAAAAGAGGTCAGACTGGCTCAAGCAAAAGTGAGCAAGGAATGAAGTAGCAGTTGAGATAAGGACCTCTACCAATGAAGTAGAGGCTTGAAGATCATGTAAGGACTTTGGTTTTTACTTTGCCATGACTTTTCTTAAATTTCTACTTGCTAAGATAAGTCATTGTTTCTTTCCAAAGGATTTAGTTTTTCCTCCTTGCTTCTTACGTCTAGTAGGAAACTACAAGGATTCTCTCTCTAAACAGGGATGGGCAAGGAAAGGGTCAATAATTCTGCTTTCCTTATTTATGAAAATACATACTGATAAGTATATACTGACAAGCTAACACATTTCAGTTTGGAAAGTAAGTAAAATGATTACTCAAAACATAATCCTGTTATAAGTTCAATAAAATACAGCTGGCTAGTAAAACAGAAGTTTGTTTGTTTTTAAAGATTTTATTTATTTATTTGACACAGACACACACACACACACACACACACACAGTGCGTGCGCGCGTGTGCAAAAGCAGGGGGGAGCAGCAGGCAGAGGGAGAGGAAGAAGCAGACTCCCTGCTGAGCAGAGAGACAGACATGGGGCTCCATCCCAGGACCCAGGGATCATGACCTGAGGGGAAGGCAGACACTTAACTGACTGAGCCACTCATGCGCACCTAAAACATTAGCTTAATATTTAATTTGGGAACTTTTTTTTACTCTTCTCTCTGAAACTAAAGTTTAACAATCATGTATTATTTGAATGCTGAATATCTAGGTAGACATGTTTCTGAAAAATGACATGCAAAAGAATCATTTGATTCAAACATCAAAATTATTTTCAATTTCAAAGTTGACTAATATTAATCACAAGGAATTTCACAGTAAAAAATATATAAGCATAGCAAGAATTGGAATTTTCATTTATAAACTTTTCTTTTTTTGTTTTAAACTTGGCCCAACAAGGTATCATTTTATCAGTCTTAGAAATAAATATAAAAAAGTACACGACTAATTATTTCCCTTTGTCATGGAAAGGGAGCAAAGTAAAACTATTCACTATTCTTAGCATACTAAAATACTTCTTATAAATAAGACCAACCATATCCAAGGATATTTCCCCACAGTTAAGATCTGTAAAATTTTCATTGAAAGCTGAAAAAACAAATAAAAGCACTTAAGCAAGAACTCCTTATTCATGTATTCTCATTGCTCACTTATCAGAAAGGAAAAAGTTACAATGACTAAAAACTTGAATGTACTTCTAGAAGTTTATCTCTGAAAATTAAAGTCACCGTTAAAACAGCTAATCTATTACAACTTTTACTTTAAAAACGCTGTATGATTGACAAAGCAAAAAAAAAAAAAACCGAGTAAATATATCTAGGATAACACTGCTTATTATCTATGAAGTCCAGGATTTACTAATAGTTTTTCGACTATTTTAAAAACTCGGAAAGGGAAGCTTTGCTGTTAGCTGGGTTCAACCATACTGACAGAGATAATGTTGCCATTCACCTTGTTCCTCTGAAATCTAAGAGGGGACCTCAGCCACAACTTACTATTTCAAACTCCTAATTATTATAATATTATAATTATTTTTATGAAATTTGAAAGAAAATAGTGACATGTCATTTTAGTACCAAATTCTGATTTCGTTTTTAAAAAGGTAAGCAAAACCCTCGTTTAAAAAGTTTAAAAGACTTTCCAATGTTAAGATTTAACGTTCTGAAATCCACTTAGCGGCCGACCACCTTCCAACTTGATGTACCCAGATGCGCCGGGTTCTGACGAGTGGCGACAGCAATGCGCACACGTCGCTCCAAGTTTACCTGAGGAGCCCGAAAACCTAGAGAACAGCTGAGTAAGACCTCAGTGGGGCTGCACCCTTTTCTGTGTCCCTCCCTTACCACCTTCCTACACTTTTCCCCGCCGGAAAACACGGTGTCCCTCCCGGCGCCGGGTCCTTAATCCCTGCGGAGTTGAGCGTGTACCTGACAGCCCCTGGCAAGCCCGGCCTGGCTTACCTTGAGGACCGGGGTCAGGTACTCAGCCACTTCCAGTGCTTTTCCCTTCACCGTGTTAATCACATTCTGCATCCTGGGGCCGGAGAAGCGGCCGGCCCCGCGACGGGGCGGGACGGGCAGCCAGGGAAGGGACCAGGAGTCAGAAAAAAGCCCCGCTGCAGCCGACGCGCATCGGCACCCGGCCGGCGGCACCCAAAGGGACTGGACGCGACGGGATGGACTGGACGAGGGGGAGGGGCGGCCGGCGCCAATCGCGAGGGCAGGGCGCGCGCTGCTAGCCACCCAGGCAGTGGGCAGCGGACCGGGCCTAGGTGTCACCTGGCCGTAAGAGAGGACAGCAGGGACCAGGCGAGAGTTAGCGGGGGGAGAGGCGGGCGCACGCGCACCCCTCTCCTTCTCGGGAGCTGTCTTCTCCCCAAAGCTTCACTCGCGCCCCTTCCGGCTTCCCCTTCTCTCTCTCGCCGTACCACCGCCGCCACCTGGGCCTCACGTGACTCAGGACTCTCCCGACACGTGACGCGAGAAAGGGCGCGCTGGGGCGGGCTTAGGCAGCTCCTTCCCTCCTTCCGGAAGCGTAACACTGACCGCGCCTGCGCAATGGGTACGAGGTCCGCTCTTTCCCAGTCGGGACGTTATTGGGCTTTTGGTTCCGGAATAGGAGGCTTGGGGGCAGAGGCTTTTTCTCCTCTCTTTCCTTCCTATAGCTTCCCCAACTATGGACCCTAAAAGCTGCTGCTTCTGCGGAGCTACACATTTACTGCCTCAGCTCTAGGATGTGCGCTCCTCAACTAAAAACCCTTCGAACGGACGGAGGTAACCTCGCCCACCTGGCAAACAAGTGCGCGTGCGTATGAGGGGAGGGCGCGCGCCGCTCGAGATTCCTACTGCGCATGTGTTACAAGGAGGGTTTCCCCCCACCCCCACCCCGCCACCCCTCTTCCCCGACTGTAGAGGGAAACCTGCCTTCCTTGTGTAGGGGAGGTACCTCTTTGACCTCTACGGTTGCGCGCAGGTGGGCTGTCGGTGTTGACGTCTCAAGCCTGCCTGTCCCCAATGTCCTAGGCCCTGTGCACCATCCCTGGGTGGGAGGCTTTGAAGAAGTTACCCAGCCTAGAGTTTAGTTTCCTCGACAAATCAAAAGACGACCTTAGAGGCATTGATTTCTAAGTTCTTTTACCTTTTAGCACTGGTTCAAGTACAAATTCACAGCACTGTTTCGAATATTTCCACTTGGCTCATTATTGTAAAACGAAATATTTCTCAGCAAGCCCTTTCCCCACTTTGTAGAGAAGAGCTGCTTACTGAGGAGAACAATAGAAATCTGAAGTTCTCTTCTTCTAGAACAAAGTTGCTAATAGGAATGGAAGTTAAATTGCTTTTTGCAAAATTCTGCAGTCCCAAAATGTCAGTTGCTTTTGGCAGCATTTATAATAATTTATAATCCGGCACTACCTTTTTTTTTTTTTAAGGTTTTATTTATTTATTTAACAGAGAGAGAGAGAGAGAAAGACAGTGAGAGAGGGAACACAAGCAAGAGGAGTGGGAGAGGGAGAAGCAGGCTTCCCGCTGAGCGGGGAGCCTGTTGCGGAACTGGATCCCAGGACTCTGGGATCATGACCTGAGCCGAAGGCAGATGCTTAAGGACTGCACCCAGGCGCCCCTGTCTTTTCTGTCTTCTAGAATTTCCCCTCCTATCAATTTCTGACTCTTTCATTTTTTCCGCATAGTTTCTCTTCTTCTCAGTTTTCTTGGTTTTGATATAACCGTAGCCAGACATCTACCTAATTTCTGTTCTTCACTAATCAGTGGTATTTGTGCTATGCTTTATCTGCCTGCAGCGTTGCTCACGAATATATTCTTTTCTTTAAGGCAATTAAAAAACAGCGGAATGGAAAGCAAGTGCTGTGGTCATCCCATGTTCTGCTCCTTGTCAACCATGTATACATTCCTGCTAGGCACCATATTCGTCGCTTTAAGCTCAAGTCGAATCCTGCTGGTAAAATATTCAGCCAATGAAGGTAAGTTAAGACTCGGAATATATGGAGCACTTGGAGCTAATTACACATTACATCTCCTGTGTTTGGTCTCCTTGTGTGTAAAATAGAGATCATATACTTTCAAGTATTCTGCTTCATGTAAACGATAAAGTATGTTTAAATTTGATTCTGTAACCTTTCATTCCTTAGCAAGAAAAATGTTTGATGCTGAGTGAAATTTGGATTAATCAAGTATAGCGTTGAACCCTTTAGAGAACAGATCATAACATCTGACTGTAGCTTTAATCAACAGATATCTGAGTCTGTAGCGGTATGTGTAATTATAACTTAGTTCGAAATAGGAGCATATATTTGGTCACTTCGCATTTGTGAGGTACTGTCTTAATTACTATACCAGTGTGGTAGTAGAGATTATTAGCTTTGAAATTTTTAGCTCAAGAAGTCTTCTGGGTTTTTTTGTTTTGTTTTGTTTTTTTGTGGGGTTTTTTGTTTGTTTGGTGTTTTTGTTTTTTTTTTTTGAGAGAGAGCTTGTATGTGCACAGTGTAGGGGAGGAGGCAGAGAGGGGGGAAAGAGACTCTTAAGTGGTCTCCATGTGTGGTGCAGAGCCCAATGCAGGGCTTGATCTCAAGACCCCGAGATCATGAGCTGAGCTGAAATGAAGAGTCAGACACTTAACCAACTGAACCGCCCAGGTGCCCCTTCTGTTTGTTTGTTTAATGTAGTAATTTGTATTTATATACACAATTTAATTCTACAAAGCTATATTGACAATCTTTCACTAGTTATTGAGGATGCATAAAGTCATGACATCACGACTCTTAATGGTTTGCTTGTGGAGTCTGATGTGTATGTAAGTCTTTGCTTTGGTTAACATTTATCTCTTGGGCACTTAGGCCAAGTATTAAGTAGCGGTGTTCAAAGTGTGTAAAACATAGACATTCTCAAAAACTGGGTTTATTAGGAGAGCTGTCCATGTGCAAGATCATGACAGTACGGTAGGATATGTGCAGTTCTATATCAAAGATGCAGGGATAGTTTAGATTAGGAAGTGATATATTCTCTCTGGGAGAGGATCATACGGAGTGCAGAGGGATCAGGGAGCACTCCCCGATAAGGTGAACTTAATCCATAAGAGGACTGGTGGACACGGGTGTTTAAAACAGAAGCAGCAATCCATAAAAATGAATAGACACATTAAAAAAAAAAGGCAGGATGAATTGTGAGAACACGTACTTCAGAATTACTGAGCAAAAAGTTTAAGGACTTGGAGGAGGGGGCAAGGGGTGCTTAACCAAAGGGGAATGTTATGATCAGATACTTAAGGACTTCATATGCCATGCTAAGGAGCTGGGACTTTGACTTTGTTCTCTAGGTCCGAGGGTCTGGAGGATAGGGAATGCCTGAGGAATTATAAACAAAAGGAGAGAGACTGTTACGGTAGCTGGATAGAGGATGGACTTGGGAAGAGACTGGAAGCAGAGTAGCCAGTTGGGATTATTGCAAATTCGAGCCATAGATGAAGTCTAACCAATACTTTGGAGGTAATAATAAAGAGAGGATAGATTGAAAAAATATTCTAAACATAGAAAAGACAGGGCTCAGAGAATGTACTGAATGTGGAGACTAAAGAACATGAAATACTGTATAGCTCAGAGGTTTCTGGTTTGGGATGCCAAATAGGTTGATGGTGTGTATCATAGTGATCAGTGCAAAGTATCGTTAGCAGATAGTAGAGTGTGATTTCAGCCTTTAAGCTCAGAAAAGGGAGAAGTTTTCATTAGGCTTTGAAGGATTGAGAAAGTTTAACAGGCAAGTACTAAATTCAGGTGAACATTTATTAAGTGCAGAATACCTGCTAGTTATATGAAGATGACTAACGTGGGCCCTTTCTCATAAGAAGTTTACATTCTAAGGTAAGACTTAACAAAGAAGAGGTAACTATAATACTGTGAAACAAGTACTGTTATGAGGGTTTATAGGTAGTGCAGCAGGATCCGAGATGAACAAAGAATTGACTATGGTTAGGTTGAGTCAAGGGAAACCACAGAAAAAAGCAAAAAGGTGTTTTGGATAGGAAGAATGTTGAGCTGGCATTTTTCTTCTGTACTTGGCCAGTTTTGGTTTTTCATATAATGACCAAGGCAAACAAGCAAATGTTTCAAAAGGGGGGAAAATTCAGTCCTTAAAATATTACCTAATAAAGTTTATGTTTGTCCTTGGCAAAATTGTACATCAAGTTGTTTGTCAGCATTTGGAATAGAGGTAACAGCTAAGACCAAGGCATACTGACCTAACCTCATTTCCTAATTAAATTGACTTAGAAGTTAAGATACATCTTCCCAACTCATCAGTGGGTTTGGATTATGTTAGATACTTCCTTCCAGCCCTAGAGGTAGCCAGAGCCCTGGGCAGTTGCCTCTTGGCTCTAATAGCTTCCTTCTTTTACCCCAATGTACTGTTTATCCCAGAGTGGCAAACAAATACTGTTTTCTGTATGTGCCATGATGCGAAACAGAGGGGAATGCTGTAAGGGATTATCACAGACAGTGTACCTTGATTCTAGCAGACAAGTTACACAAGAGGAACCATAGATGGATCCTAATTCAGCCAGATCAATCTATAGCTTTTGATGACTCAAGCCCTGAGTGCTAATTAGCGGTCAGTTTAGAAGCCCATCTTTAATGCCGTATCCTGAAGCCACCTTTGCCAATAGCCTTAAACATATTTATCAGCAATTTGGATGAAAACATCAGAAGGCTGTTTATCAGACTCAAGAATAATAAAACACTGAGTGCAGTAGGGATAGCTAATAACATTAGGTGAACAGATTGAAAAATCCAAGAGAGAACAAAGCCAACTGGATGAAGTTTAATACAACCAGTATTAAAATCCAACTTTTAAGTTTAAAAATAGCTGTAAATTATTAACTGTATATAACCATTATGTAGAACAAAATTTGTAGTTAAAAAAATGTCCGTTACATTTCAGAAAACAAGTATGATTATCTTCCAACTACCGTGAACGTGTGCTCAGAGTTGGTGAAGCTAGTTTTCTGTGTGCTTGTGTCATTCTGGGTTGTAAAGAAAGGTGAGTCTTGAAGTGGTACTCTATACTTGTTAAAAATCACAGAATCAAAACACTTCAGAACCAGAAGGAACATTTGATGTCATTTAGTCTAGCCCACTAATTTTATATATGAGGACACTAATACACAAACTTAAGTATGATTACCCATGTTTTGCAAGTGAAGAAACAGGCCCAAGGAGAAAACGTTATGCGTGGTAGGTGGGAGGGGGCAGGGCCAGGACTCCAGCCCATGTTTGCCTTGTGTCTTGGCCATCACTCTGCCTTGTTACTTGTTCCTTTGTTGGGTCACACAGTGAGTTAGTTTTTATTGAAATTCAGGGTTTTCTAAATCACTGCTGTCTGATTTGGTACAAAGTATATTGCCAAAACAGTCCCCATTTTCTACAGGGGAGGTGGTATAGTGGATTGAGTCAGAGAAACTATATTCTGGGTCAGATTATTTTAACTTCTCTGACTTCCAGTTTCATCAATTATCGAGCAGAGATATTCATCCCTTCCTCACATCTGAAGCAACTGGCCTTCTGTGGCTCTTTGTATGTATTAGGTGTTAATTCTCCACCTTAGTTCCCCAGTTCTTGAGCATTATGACTCTGTTCTTTGATCTGCCATGACATGTGAGGTAAACATAGAATTTAAAGTATTAAAGGTCTTTTCCAGGAAGATTTCTTTTTATTCTTAAAAGTTTCCATTTGTGCAGAGTTTCTAGTTGTTGGAATACATTTCTTAATCTCATGAAATTTATGCGTTATTTACAGGGCTTATACTTAAATTGTTTTCTATTTTTGCATGTTATTTTACATTCTCTTGTTATGGTACCTTCCTAATAAGTTTTTGGAGATCTGGCGATGGGATCATTACTCATATAAGGATTAGTAAAATTTAATTTTCTGTACTCCCCTATTATAAGTTTTCACCTAGTGTCTTTTTTTTCTGATTCCCCCCGGGGGAAAAATAATCCCAGCATAAATGCTAGATTTTTTTTTCTCTGTATTCTCACATCTTGCTCTCTCTCGACTTTAGGTCTCATAATAGTCAGAGGAACCTTAAGTATCCTGAGATGTTTCAAGTTAACAGGAATTAGGTATTCCTAAGGGTGTTGCTGATTGTCAGTGATGAGGCATGGTGGTTGGTGGGTTGAAGAAAGAGAGACAATGCTGAAATCCTATATTGCCTTTGATTTCTTAAGGCTAATAGTCACTGATGAAAGCAAGTTCATAAAGCCTCTTTCAAATAATTGTATCAGTAATCAAATACAACTTACTTTGTCTAAAAATATAGGAATTCTCATCAAGATCCTTTGTTTATTACTGTCTTTCTTTCTTTTGAAGACCATCAAAGTAGAAACTTGAGATGTGCTCCCTGGAAGGAATTCTCTAATTTCATGAAGTGGTCCATTCCTGCCTTTCTTTATTTCCTGGATAATTTGATCGTCTTCTATGTCATTTCCTACCTTCAGCCTGTAAGTAAATATAATAGAAAATAGCGTTGGAAAAATACAGAGAAATGAATCCCAGAACTAATATTTTTTATCATTTTCATTGTCAGTGTTAGTTTCTCTTTGCCCCCAGTGGTTTTCCTGAGATTGGACCCAAATCATCTGAATATGGAATTACCAATCTGCCTGCCACATTCTCTCACTCTTAAAGATTGCTGTAGAAAGCTGTGCTGACTAGCAGGAGTTGCTCCCTGGCCAGTGAATGTGGAGCCATCTCTCTGTATGTAACCTTAGTCTGCCTGTTTGCTGAGCCATCCTGTGGTCACCAACCTCTGTTAACTTCAGCATTCACTATCTCCAAACACATTTCTGTTACTGACTCAGAAAATCGTATACTCAGCCCTATTCTTTCCTATACCTGCTTTAATGTACTATATGCATTGTTTTTATGATCTTTTTTTTTTTCCATATTAGTCCTATCATTTAACCAACAAGTTCTTTAAGGGTAGAAAATACATTCTCCCAGCTATAAATGCTATCTACAACTAATCATACGAGGGATGTTTCTCATCTCTCTTGGCATCCTCCTTCCCAACTGAGAAATCCATTTGTAATTGGGATTAAAATTTGGTCTTCTGCTTTTACTTTTACAAAACAACTTTGGGACATGTGTATATTTTCGCATAATATCTTATAAAATGAAGATTTCTATTGCCATTGTTGCCAAAATGTGTTTTAAGTTTCTTTAAATAAAATATTCAGGCATTTTGATGATAAATAGGATTTTTATTGGCACTGGTTCTCTGTGTAAAGCCTCTTAAATATAGCCAAATCAGTTTGAGAGTGGGACAAGGAGAGATCAGTAGAGCACTAAGTAGAAAACAGGAATTTGATTCTTTTGCACAATTTAGAAGCTGTTTAATTAGGCAACCCCCAGCTACTGTGTCAGTTGCCCATCTGTGAAATAGAGTAACGTTACCATACTAACTCTAAGGTTGGCAGGAACCTGGGCCAGGTAATCCCCTGAAATTCCTTTCAGCTCCATCATCCGTGTCATTAGCAAGTGTTTTGAATGCTAGAATGTGTTCTGTCTTACATTCTTCCAGTTTGTTTTTCAGATCTAAGAATTCTCATACCCAGCAACATAATTATTTGCATCAATGAGTACATAGTATTGTATTTTATTGAGCTTAGCTTCAAACTTATATCCCTTTTCTCTGTCCTCAGTATGAAAGCAAGATTGCAGCTTCCTTGTTCTTCTAGTTTATTGCTTTGCTCTTCCTTCCTGATTGTGCACAACCACAAATATTACAAAATCAGTCACATGGCATATTCTGTATATTGCTGTGCCCCAAGTCTAGTTGGAAAGAATTAAATAGAGATACGTGGAAGCTTTGGGGCAAAGAGCTCTGGTGTTTTGTTTATTCTGTGCTCTTGCATGGAAAGCAGTTTCAGAATTCATCAGGGCAGCCAGGTGCTTGGCTAGGGATCTGCACCATAACTGTAATTAATCAGAGCCACTGCCTATTCCCTCTTACCAGCCACTCACTTTCCTCAGCAGCTCTTACTCTTCTCCTACCAGGGGCTCATAAACGTTCGTCTCCAGAGGACACTGAGAAATCCTTAAAACAGCGCTTCCCCCAAAAATATTCAGTAGAAAAATAACAATATTGTATTTTTGCATTTGTTTTATTAGATTTTTAAAGTTAATTTTTTATTGGTTTTTATTGCATTTATTCTTATTTCTTTAATTCACCTACATGTTAGCTGTGTTTGCTGGTTATATAAGACTACTGGAAAATACTCCTTGGAGTTCAGTCTTCCTAAACTGACAGCAAGGAAAAAAGCAGAGTGAAGTAAACAAGTAAGATTTGTTTTTAAAAGTCGTTAATACGGTGAGATCCAGTCATGGGGAGCAATGATGAAATTTCATACTTTCTGAGCCAAATATATACGTGTTCAGATTAATATTCTTGTCTGTGAATATGACTGAATTCATGAGAAGAGACTTTTATGAAATCTGGCTAACACATTTCTAAGTGTTGAGAACAATGTGAATAAATGAAAGGACTGTCAAATACGAGTTTGATATTGAATCGCTGGTCCTGAGTCACTGCAGTTCAGCCGGGAGAACTGATTGAATTCTTAGAATAGTAAAGATGCTTAAAAACCTATACTTCAATTTTTTTACTGTATAAAGGGGCCTAACAGTACATGCCTTCCCTCCACCCCTGGAAATAGTGTGGAAGGTCTCTAAAGCATTTGAAGAGCTTGAAAAAATATGCTTCATAGGCAAGGTAGCTGTTATTTCTAGACCTGAACATTTAGAGTTTTTAAGCATTTCCAGATCTGCATATACGGATTGTTTACAGAGGCATTTGCTGAATTTAAGCATGTTTTCAAAGCCTATACAATAATTTGGTCATATCTGCATACATTTAACAACCAATAAAAATGGAATTTAATCCTCTCGTGAAATAGCTGCCCTAATAACCCCTCAGGTTTTTGACCAAAAAGCTTTTTTTGTCAGGTGAACCAGTGAGCTGGGAGATTTCTGAGGTCACTACTTTGTTTGGATTGTAACTCTATCTTCTCCTTCTTTCTAGGCCATGGCTGTTATCTTCTCAAATTTTAGCATTATAACAACAGCTCTTCTATTCAGGATAGTGCTAAAGTAAGTAACTTGCTCTGAAAGCATATATCATACCTTAAAATGGCACAGCCTTATTTCAGATGATATAACTCAGAGCACTGAGCCCTCTGAGTCCCAGGGCCAGGATTTTATTCCTAACTGGCTTTGTGTTTTGGACAAATTGTTTAACCCATCCAAAAAGCAGCTCCAGTACTGCTGGCCCATCTAAATCTTTGCAACTAGATATATGAAAAGTTTTTTCTTAGCATCTCAAAAAAAAAAGATAATTGACCAGCTTATTTTAATTTTTAGTGCCAAATTAAAGAATTCATGAGCTTTTTTTTTTCCCCCAGAATCTCTGTACTTTACTAGGGAACCAAGAAGTTCCTAAATATTGTTAATGCATTGGTTATTTGTAGTTTCGAGAGGATGAAGAGTGGCAAATTCCTTATTAAACTGCTTGAAACGAGTACATGATTTAAGCTCTGATTGGCAGAGGATTTGCATGTGGAATCTAGTCAAAATTACAATTAATAAGAATGATTTTTAAATTTTGAAAAATGCTGTCACCAGGGTTTCCTTTCTCCAGGAAGATCTTTGAATAAAATAAACATTTGTAAGTAAACAGGCTCTGCCACCAAGCAAAGGCCAGACTGTTCTAAGGTGTAATGGGATCTGGGTATTAACTCCAGTTTGTTACTTGATGATGATAAAAATAAAATTAACTTCTTATTATATTTGTTGTGATTTTCTTTTTTATTTTGCATTCACTTCCCCTTTTAATTTCTTATTTCTCAATGTGCCATGTCATAGTATGTGCTTTCATAATTTACGTGTACAACAGGGTGAGTGGCTTAGTACATAGGCACTCAGTAAATATTTGTTGAATCCATGCTGGGTTCAGTACATTAATCATATGGAGTTCTTGAAAGACTTTCTATTACCCTGAGGAAAGCATTCAATTTAACAGTTCATGTGAGAGATGAGGAAAAAGAACATGAACATTACATTTCGTCCAGGTTAAAAGTTAGAGTGCACTGAAATTTGCTTTTGTATCAGGTTCTTCATTTTGTTTATGAATTGTGACAATAATTTAACTAGCAAGTTAAAGAATGCTAATTCCAAAAATGTTTTGAAGTCTTTAAAATCAACATAAAAGTTACTTTATAGGATAAAAAATTGACTTCTGAGAAATTATATATAAACAGTAATCTTTATATTGATTTCTGGGTAAAATTGGAGGTGCATGTCCACAGAGGAATAAAATTGTCCCTGCCACATAATAAAAGGTTCATTATTTGATAAGGGAGTCTCACAAAGGGTCTCAAAAACACGTTTTTTATTTAAGTAAAAGTTTTTTTTCCTGTGAAATGACATTTATGGGTACACATGGTATTATACTTACATAATACAATACATAGGTATTGTGTCAAAATTACATCAAGTTAAAATTGAATTTGCCAACACAAAAATGTATAAAATATATATTGCCAGGCTTGGAATTGGCCCATAGCTCTAGTTGTGCCCTTAACTGTGTATAGTATTTTTTTTATTTTTGTTTGTTCATCTGTTTTAATTTACTCCAAAGCATGAGCTGTGGCGCAGAGGTCGAGCTGAGGGACCACTCAGAAAGGCCATATCCAGGACTGGCCTGACGGGTTTGTAGGCAACAGGGCGAGTAGGCTTTCAGCTGGACAGTGAGAAGATAACCCAGTAAGGACTCCTTAGGGCCAAGGGCTGGTCCAAGAGCCAAGCTGAGGGCCTTTCCCCTATCTAGGCTTACCCCCACAACAACCCCAGGAGGCAGGAGTTACTGTCCCTCTTCATCAGTAGAGTCATCCCAAGCTGAGTCTGAGCCCACAGCAGAGAGCTACCAGGCATTTTACAGCATTTAGGTGGCTTTGACCAGAGGGGAGGGAGCATGTGGGGCAGCAGGGTTAGAGGCAGAGAGACCAACCCAAGGTGAACTGCCCGTGTCAGGGGTGGAGAGAGAGCTAGCATGTGGGCAGAGATGGCCCTCTTAAAAGTTTTAAACACTTTACTATTTGTATTAAGAAAGTTAGCTCTTAGTATAACCAAATCTAAACCTAATTACACTGTAAACATAAAATGTTTACTTTTGATACTATTAATTATAACATTATGCTGTTGCTAGTTTTAATAATAACTAATGTTATGAACTAAAGTTCCAAAAAACTTTTTCACTAATTTTACCTCTTAATATTCAGAGCAGTAATATTCTTAGACATGTATTTGCTTTGTTGTTAGTATCCCTCTGTTTTGAATCCTTCAAGGTTAATTAAGCAGACAATGAAATCACTGTGCTTGTATTACTTTTGCAGGCACTAACTTAGCTCCTGGAGGGGCTTTTAATTTGACTGATTCACAAATCAGCACTGAAGCTACTCTTAATATTGCTAAAAGAATATATCTACTACTGTCTTTATGAGAATGTCTTCCAAGTACTGTATTATTACATTTTTCTTTTTTTAAATTGTGTATTATTTATTACATTTTAAGTCAATTTTGTTCTATTTTGATCTTTTTGTCATTGGTGGCATATGTTGTTTCATTTAACGTATTCAGTCTACTCTTTGTGTACCATTTAATGTCCTTTTGCCGTCGTTAGCAATAAAATTTTGACCCAGGAGTAGCAGCTTGAGTCTTACTACATATTCTTAATGTGTTTGCCATAAATAACTCATTTTACATTAGAATTTTTAAAATTTAAATTCAGTTAATTAACCATATAGTGCATTATTAGTTTCAGAGGTAGAGTTCAAGTTGTATATAACACCCAGTACTCATTATATCATGTACTCTCCTTAATGTCCATTACCCTGTTAGGCCATCCCCCCAGCCCCCTACATTTAGAATATTAAAACTGTTGTCTTATACTTGACTCTAGCAGAGCCATCAAATACCTTTCTCATACAGATAAAGAGTATAAAGCTACACAGGTAGGAAAAAAAGTCCAGTGACTAATGCAAGAATTAGTTGGAAGTATTTGAAAGTGGTAAAAAGAAAATAGCACCAATCAAATGCCTTACTGGATGTTCTAGAGAAACCCTGTGTGAATGTGTACATTGGTTTTTCGAAGTGTAGCCACTGGTCCACAGTGGAAACTGGTGGCAGACATTATGCCTCAGAACCTTACTGGTTTGCTCTTAAGGCTTGGCAAATTTGTATTGTCTTGTTTAATTAGATTTTAGGAAATAGTAGTCTCAACCTGAACATAGAGATCTGGGGGCAAAAGATAACCAAACAAGCACTTTTATCTAAAAAATGTATATAAATTTCTCTGATATCTTCGAAAGGAAGCTGTTGAGAAAAAAACAATCAGTGAAAAACATTTTTGACACATGAGGGAGTCTTAGAAGAAAAAAAGTGCCCCTCACTGGTACAAGCATTTCTTCAAAATCATTCACTTGATAATTCTTTTTTATAATTTTCTGTTATAAATATGCCACTGGTCACTTTCTGTGTAACTAAGAATGTTTTATGTACAATTTTTTTTAAAGTCCTGTGACTCTTTCCACTTAATTTTATTTTCATGTTCTGCTCTGTTTTACTACCACAAGGTAAGGTAGAGATGCTCTTACCTGACGCAATTTGGACTTCGTTTTTACTAGGAAAACTCAAAGTGGTGAATCATTAAAAAAAAAACAAACCCATACTTTAAACAGCTTAAGATGTGTAAATGTCCATTCACAGTGTTTTGAAGAGCTCAGGCCTTTCCTTTGAAATGTGTGGGATTTGCTGATGAGAACTTTTTTTTGGCTTTGTTCTTGAAGCTACATTCAATATGCATCACTCTTGCTTTCTGATTTTAGTTTCTTAAAGTAGAGTTAGTTCTTAAAAATACTTTTAAAGTAGATTATTATAGATTTTTGTTATTTATTTCCTAATCTTATAATTAGCTCCTCTGTACCCAGTTTGAGTAATTTGCTTTTAATTAATCTTCCAGAGCTTTCAACTTTTCATAAAAAAGCAACCCTTTTCTTTTGCTCATAATTTGTCATTTATGTAATCATTAAATATCTAATTACAATAATGAAGTCATCTGGCAAAAACACAGTTAGGAACAGAGATTCTTTGTGAGCAAGAGTTCATTTGGAAACAGAAGCCCTCAGGTAGAGTGTCCTTCTAGCAGTAAGCGTTCAGCTCTGAGCAGCAATCCGAACGATTTGTTTACTGGGGCAGTGGAGAAATCAGTTAGGTGAGTTTCGGCTTTTGTATTCATGAAACTGTGAGAAGCAAACTCATGCAGTCATTTATAAAAGCACCTATCCTCAGCTGACTTTATGGGATAATTTATTTAGCTTTATTTTCTTTGCTGAAAATCTACCATTTTCAGCCTAACCCTTTAATAACATTTACCTTCTAGAACATTACCTTGAATGAGCAATATTTTCAGTGGTACCAATTAACTTGTTTAAGGGTTTAATTAGGTTCTTTTTTTCTCAATGTCAGTGGAAAATCTATAGCTGTTGGAATTGAAAACTCCTAAAGTAATTATAGATTATATTATATAGAATTAAAATATATATTTCCCTTGATGTCCAATAATCGGTTATATAATGATTTTTATAAATTGGGCATATACTTTTCATCTGTCTTTTCTGAGTCCAATCAATTTACTTTCTTCCACTTACTGTGTACCATCTACACCTTTAGAAATTTATGAGATTAGTACACAGTTTCTGACTTTGTGGTTTAGGGCTATGCTAGAGTCATAACTAAGTGCTAGATCTGGATATTTAAAAATACATACATGAGAAGACATGATAGTGTACACATGTGTGCTGCTATCTAGGCTGGTCTGTGCACATATCAGTTTCAATTAATGAAGCTCTATGGAAGCATTGGTGAAATCAGACACCTCTTCCTATATATGCACCTTGGGAATTCATTATACTTGAAAATTGTACTTAAGAGGCTCATAGGTCCAAAAGGGAGACAAACCATGGCTCAGATCCCTTCCTCTCCCTTCTCCTTTCCTTTCCTTCTCCTTTCTTCCCCTCCTCTCCCCTCCCCTCCCCTCCCTCCCTCTCCTTCCTTCCTCTTTCTTTCTTTCTTTCTTTCTTTCTTTCTTTCTTTCTTTCTTTCTTTCTTTCTCTCTCTCTCTCTCTTTCTTTCTTTCTTTCAAGATTTTATTTATTTGAGAGAGAGAGAAAGGGAGAGCACAGAGTGAGAGGGAGAAACAGATTCCTGCTGCACAGAGAGCCGGATGCAGGACCAGATCCCAGGGCCCCAGGACCAGATCACAACCTGAGCCTAAGGCAGCCATTTAACCGACTGAGTCACATGGGCTCTCCACCTTCCTTGCTCTTTCATAAATATGTGACCTTAGGGAAGTCTGTTAACCTCTCAGAGCACTGTTTCCTTCCTTACAAGAGAAACTGACCCATAGTAGGTGTCCAGTAAATGCTCCAAAGTTCTTGTAAATTCCATTTCTTATCTGTTGCTTTACACTTCTTTGTTTATATGTCTGTGTGTGTGTGCGTGTGTGCATGTGTGTTCCCTCTTCATCTAACTAATTGATCTTTAAACTTGAAGATTTTGTTCCCCTTCAGATCTCCGTATCTACCCCAACCTGAATCAGCTGCCCCTCGCCTTAGTCAACATTGTACATTCTTACTGCCTTTGTATAGTCTCCTCCGTCTCCCTGGATATATTGGCAAATGCCATTTCACATGGCAAATGTCAGTTTATTTTTCATCTTTCACCTCGAGTGTTATTTTTTCTTTGAAACAATATCTGATTCCACTTACAGACTCAAGATTTCCTTCCTTACTGTGCCCCAGTTGTTCTGTGTATCACTTGTCACACATTATGTTTTGCATTGTTTAGTTTCAAGGCTCTTCCCTTATTAAAGTGTAAATTCCTTGGAGATGGAGATCAAGTCTTATCTCCCAGGCTCATAGTAGCCTGGCACACAGTAGCTGCTTATTTAAATGTCTGTTGAACTGAAAGAATCCACAAAATAGATTGACAATAAAGCATGTCTTCTTTTCTTTTTAATGTTCTCTCTCTTTTTTTAATTAACATGTAATGTATTATTTGTTTCAGGGGTACACATTTGTGATTTCAGTCTTAATTCACAGTGCTCACCATAGCACATACCCTTCCCAATGTCCATTACCCAGCCATCCCATCCCCCCACCCCCCTCCACTCCAGCAACCCTCAGTTTTATTTCCTGAGTTGAGGAATGTCTTATGGTTTGTCTCCTTCTCTGGTTTCATCTTGTTTCATTTTTCCTTCCCTTCCCCTATGATTCCTCTGTCTTGTTTCTCAAATTCCTCATGTCAGTGAGATCATGTGATATTGTCTTTCTCTGATTGACTTACTTCACTTAGCATAATACCCTCTAATTCCATCCACATCATTGCAAATGGGAAGATTCTGTGGTTTTTGACGACTGCATAGTATTCCATTGTGTGTGTGTATGTGTGTGTGTGTGTGTGCGCGCGTGCGTGTGTGTGTGTACCTACATACACACCACATCTTCTTTATCCATTCATCTGTTGATGGACATCTGGGCTCTTTCCATAGTTTGGCTATTGTGGACATTGCTGCTATAAACATTGGGGAACACGTGCCCCTTCAGATCACTACATTTGTATTTTTGGGGTAAATACCCTCTAGTGCAATTGCCAGGTCATAGAGTAGCTCTATTTTTATACAAGTTTGTGGTTAGGCAAAATAAGTAAAGAAATAAAACATTGTTAAGACTTTGTAAACTGAGACTACTAAATTTTTTTTTCCTTACTGTCCCAAACAGTAGTTTACTATAAAATTTTTTATGATTAGACCACAGATCTAGGAGCAGGCTCCCTCCTTAAATCTTTTTTGGGTCATGAACACCTTTGAAATTTGACAGCTTTGAAGGGTCTTGTGTGATTGGTGTGGGCAGGGCCAAGAATTCACCTATATAGAAGATTCCTACTGCAAGGATTCACAGATTTCTAAAGCTTCAGATTGAGGAAATCAGGTTGAGACTCTGCCATACTTAGTTCATAGCAAAGTAAAAAAATCATTGTTACAAAGGTCTGATCAGTTCTGGAGGTAAAAAGATTTAGTTAAATCTAAAGTTAAAAGGAAACTTAACCATGAGAAATGACTGGCATTAAGGGACAATCTATTACAAAGGTGAATAAAAATATCACACTTAAGATGCAGAGACACCAACAGGTTTCCTTTGAACTTGAATTGGGAATGCTCGCAAAAACTGGGCACAGTTTATTCTACCAAGTACTCAAGTATCTGCGTTTTCAGTAGAAACAGTCGCTGTGGGAAAGGTGTTGGGGGGGAGCAGTAGTAAAATCTCGTTTTTCCTCTGAACAGGAGGCATCTAAACTGGATACAATGGGCTTCCCTCCTGATTCTGTTCTTGTCTATTGTGGCCCTCACTGCTGGGACTGAGACTTCACAGCGTAACCTGCCAGGACATGGATTTCATCACGATGCCTTCTTCAGCCCATCCAATGCCTGCCTCCTTTTCAGAAGTGAGTGCCCCAGCACAGGCAACTGCACAGCAAAGGCATGGACTTTCCCCGAAGCTAAGTGGAACACCACAGCTATGGTTTTCAGTCACATCCATCTCGGCTTGGGCCATGTGCTTATTATAGTCCAGTGTTTTATTTCTTCAATGGCCAATATCTATAATGAAAAGATACTGAAGGAAGGGAACCAGCTGTCTGAAAGCATCTTCATACAGAACAGCAAACTCTATTTCTTTGGCATTCTTTTTAACGGACTGACGCTGGGCCTTCAGAGCAGTAACCGTGATCAGATTAAGAACTGCGGGGTCTTCTATGGCCACAATGTGTTTTCAGTTGCTCTTATTTTTGTGACTGCATTCCAGGGTCTCTCGGTGGCTTTTATTCTCAAGTTCCTGGATAACATGTTCCACGTCTTAATGGCCCAGGTCACCACTGTCATCATCACAGCAGTGTCTGTCCTGGTCTTTGACTTCAGGCCCTCCCTGCAGTTTTTCTTAGAAGCACCCTCAGTTCTTCTCTCCATATTTATTTACAAAGCCAGCAAGCCTCCAGGTCTGGAGTACACACCTAGGCAAGAAAGAGTCCGGGATCTAAGCGGCAGTCTCTGGGAGCGCTCCAGTGGGGTAAGTTTGTCAGGATGCTGCCTTTTGCCTGTTCTTCCCAAATTCAGCACACAGTTATACAAGAAAAGAAATTGGTCACTTGCTCATTTTTCAAGGGATGTTGTGGATTTCTGTGACTTTTAAAAATTATTCAACAAACGTTCACTGGACTTAGGTGTGCAAGGGCTTGTGAGAATGCTGTAAGGGTCAAGAAAAAGCATAAATCACAGTCTTGAGGACTTTATGCGTTAGTTATATCTTAGAATGCTCTAGTGCCACAGAGCTGGGACATGTGCCACAGGTTATCTTCTCCAGTCTTTCTAGGTTGGCAGATGAATAAACAGACTCAGACTAAGTGGATTATAGATAGTACCTAAAAAAACTATACTAAACCCATGAGGCCTGACTCCTAGTCCATAAGAAAAGTTGGTCTTTGACATTAGTTGCATCTTGTTAAATCTAAGTGGAAGTCCTGGCTCCTTGATTTTCCCTGCATTACTCATGAACCTCAGTGTGCCAGAAGGGCAGGCCTTATCTTGTTAGGGTGAGTTTCAAAAGGATCTTCATAAGTAAGAGAAAAATATCTTTTAGTATTCTTCCAGTTGCTTATAATTCTTCTAGGAAGATCTGTCAGTCATGGTATTAGCAGATTAATTGTCTTTTGGAGATTCAAGTCAGTAGTTAAGTATATGTTTAAAGGATGAAATAAACTCCTCTAACTAGCTTTAAATTTACAGTTTTTATGAACACACATAATATTAAGTACTTCACAAAATGAACATTTTACTCTCTAGGAAAATAATCTCTTGCCTATTAGTTCGTGGTGGAGCTTTCATCAGTATAATGTCTCTGAAGTAGTGATATAACAGACTCTTAAGATATAACAGACTCTTAAGATGAAAAAATTAGAAGGGTGGGTCCCAAATGCCCTGACCTCAGCCAGAGTACAGTTTCAAAAGTCCTGTATTCTTTTCCAATGGTCCAGTAACACCGTTTGCCTTACTTTTTAGGTAAAATTTACCGATTTTAGGTAAGGGCCTAGTTCATACTTATTTCTCCAACCACTAGTTATTTCCCTTCAAGACCAGCAGAGGGTGCTCCATACTGCATTCCGGTTGTTTTGAAATTCAAGTACTGAGATGCAGGTAGATTTTTTGTGATCTCATTATGTGTCTAAAATTAGCTTTCCAAGAACATAAGTATTTATCTAATTTCATTTGACTAGATTATAGTCATAGTTTAATGAAATAAACTTCTTAGTAATCATTACAAATGCTACATTCCTAGTATTTTAAGTAATTACTGATTTCATATTTCCTTTTAGGATGGAGAAGAACTGGAAAGACTTACCAAACCAAAAAGTGATATTGAGTCAGATGAAGATACTTTCTAATTGGTATCCAAATGACTGGCAGCTCTCAAAAACCTTATTTTCGCATTTTCAGCATGTGTCATATTTATCTTTTCACTTTGATAAACAAGAACGTTTCTAAAGCATAATACTCTTTGCATATATCTAACCACTCCCTAAACAGTTCCATCCAAGGCTTAGAGTACCCAAAGGCTAAAATGTTCTAAGGAACTGACATGGGAGTAATAGTATGGAGACTGCATTAATGGTACTTGGTAAGTCGACAAGACACATTCCCATGTTATTTTCCTTGTCTTCCAAGGTTCCAAAAAACTTGCAATAATCACGTTGGCTGTACCCTATAAATACACAAATAGTGATCAGTTTGCCATATATTAATAATTATGTAATTCCATTCTGCATGCTAAAGTCTTCCTGTATGTATTATTATAAATATCACCTAGGTTGTCCCTTGAATTTTGAAGCCCTGGAAATACTCACTTTGCAGTTAAAAAGCAATGTGACTCTTTCTAAAAAGTTTGGTGGAAGGACCTTACCATCTGGACCAACAGTGATTTGAGGGCAGTGTGGTTTGTACCAAATGTTTTTCCAAAGAAGCAATTTTTCAGAAACAAAATGTTAGAATTTTTATTTTTAGAAATTCGTAGGGAATTTGAATTTAGTGATTATCTTTTGATCTTTTTCTACACAAATAAGCTTCAGTTTACATGAAAGTTGGTTCCCAACTACCACAATTCTCACTTGGATTTTAAATCACTTTAAAGAAGCCATGGTGGACTTTTTTCCTCCTTGGTTTGGCCTCATTACTCTTGGATTATTAGATTTTAGAGAACCAATGAACCATTTCATTATATTAGTTATTAATTATAACTTATATAACTTGTCATATTTATTACTGTCATACCCTATATCTAGGAATTGAGACATTGGCTTCAGAATCATAACAGACTATCATTAAGACTGATGCCTGAGAGTTCCTTTTAAAAGGGTCACTTTGCAAACAAATGACTTTCACTGAAATGTGAATGGTATTATTCTGAAACAAGGAAACATCTTAATAAATAAAGTACATTACAGTAATAATATTGTCAGTAAAAGTGCATGATATTTTTTGAGGTATTTTTGCATGCAGCTAATTAAATGTGAGGTAGATGAGTCAGGTGATAGATAATTTAAAAGTGAGAAAACAGAAGTGACTTGCCCAAGGTCATGCAGCTGGATGGTGATAAGACAAGCCTAGCTCATAGGCCCACATGTTTATAGAGCACTACACTGTAGATGTGAACTTTAAGGTGTCCTTTTCATGCAGTCTGTACATCTCTTCTTTCTCCTAATTTTCATGCAATGAACATGTGATAATACTGTGAATAATCCATCTGTGATATCTGGAATAATATGGCAGGCAAGAATTGGTGGAAATGTATAAATAAAATAATTATTAAACCTGAACCTTGAGTTTTCACTGTCATGTGAGGTGGGACACGGAGTTCTTTTCATTTTCATCTCAAAAAATGGAGTGAGGCAAGAAATCCAGACAACTTGTAAAACTTTTTTTTTTCCATAGATCTTGACTTCTGAGAATAGCAAAACTGAGAATTCATCTTAATAGGTATACCTCTCCATGTTGTGAACAAGGGAGATTATGTCATTATGGCTATTCATTTTAAAGGTAAGGAAATCAGGTATAGAAAGACCTCACTTTGGGGCATCTGGGTGGCTCAGTGGGTTAAGCTTCTGCATTTGACTCAGGTCATGATCTTAGGGTCCTGGGATCGAGCCCCACATCAGGCTCTCTGCACAGCGGGGAGACTGCTTCCCCCCCACCGCCTGCCTCTCCGTCTACTTGTGTTCTCTCTCTCTCTCTCTCTGTGTCAAATAACTAAATAAAATCTTAGAAAAACTAAAGACCTCACTTTTAGAAAATACATAAATATACCTACCTTGTGGAATAGAAAAATTACAATATCATTGACAAAGGTATTGCCTACATTAAATACATTACATTAAATAGGAGATTTCACCAGTTCACGGAGCTTGATTTTCTTTCTTACAACAACTTTATTTGTAATTACAGCTTTACTTGCATTAACTGACCAATTAATAGGATAAAGAAGTGTGGAACTAAGATGTGAAGTTCCGGTGTGGATGCACTGTAGTACTTTGTGGGCACTAATGGTTTAAAAGGAGAATCAGGGGCGCCTGGGTGGCTCAGTGGGTTAAGCCTCTGCCTTCAGCTCAGGTCATGATCTCAGGGTCCTGGGATCAAGGCCCGCATCGGGCTCTCTGCTCAGCAGGGAGCCTGCTTCCTCCTCTCTCTCTGCCTTCTTCTCTGCCTACTTGTGATCTCTTTCTCTCTCTCTGTCAAGTAAATAAATAAAATCTTAAAAAAAAAAAAAAAAGAACTTTAAAAGGAGAATCACTGGAAGGCGAGAGGTCCAGAAAGCATCATCCCAAGTGCTCTTGGCGCCAAATGTATAACCTGGGGAGAAGAGTAATTGTCACGTGGAAAAAGTAGTCTTTCCTACTCTAAAGAACAAAATTACAGTGAAAGTAATAGGGTGACGGTTATTCTTTCCTTATAAGCAAGATGCTCCTAACAAATGATCCTTTCAACAGTAGAAAAGGTCCTGAAGAGTGGTGGGGAATAGTAGTGAGTTCTCGATTGTCAAAGTTTTCAGGGAGAGATTGTACCATCAAGATGTTTTAGAAGATGTTCTTTCATTGGTATAGAAGCTGACCTAAATGATTTCTGAAGTCCCTTCTTTTACAATGCTCTTCTAAGCAGTTATGACCTACAACTGATGTGCTGAATCTGCTAGCGTCATAATTTCTGAATAGCCTTTGGTTGGACCACAAGTGTGGCCTCCAGTGACCTGGTTCCAGCTCTGTCACTGTCCCCAGGACCAAACTTAGGTCCCGCAGTGTGCCTAATCCTGAGGGGTAGCAGGACGTCAATGCTGCCTGTAGAGGGAAAGATGGCCTAGACCCAGGATCCCAAATCCTTGGCCAACTGTGTCCTCATGCCATAGGTTTTCATGGCCCACAAGCAGAGGAGACTCCCAGCCAGATTCCTTTGTTTACAGCTCTAAGGCTCGCCTCTCTATCCCCCTGTGGAAGCTCTGTTGCATGTTAGTCCCATTGCAGTCTAATCTAGCTGGAGTCGACTGTGGAGCTGCAGGGAATCCCTGCGCTTTTGCGAACAGCCCAACAGGCTTGACCTGACACAATCCAGGTCCTCCTTGGCTCCTTTCCCTTTCATGGAAGTCCTGATTTTTCCCACCAACTCTCACCACTCCACTGTGGAGAAGAGACAGAGAAAGCCAAACTCAAAGGAAAGACAGTGGCTTTCCTTCTCTAACACTTAAAGCTGACTTTATGAAACGGAATTATATATATTCCTCCTTTAAGAGGAAAAAAAAAGTGTTTTCCTCACAGATCTCAGTGCTGGCCTTTTTCTCCTTCACTGTTATTTAAACTCATCAAACATAATATGAAGTATAAGCTTCCTTGCTTATAGTTTTTATATGAAAACCAAAACACATTTGCAAATTAGAATAGAAATACAGCTATAAAAGCAATTAACTTCTGATTCAAATATGAATATAGTGAGCATGTGTTGTTTTGCTCAAATAAAATCACAATAAATCCCTTAATAGACCTGCAGAACATTTGCCCTCACTTGCTAGTTTATGTGCTTTAAGCACCATCCTGTCTCTGCCAAGATAACTGAAACTTGCTGACATTGCTAGTAATGCATTTAATCCTGCTGGGATTTATCAGCCCACGTCCCTGATGATCCCATACGGATGTGGTGTGGGTCAAGCTGCCAACTCCCATCGGCTTTGGTGCCCGGGAAAGATTTTTAGAACATCAGCTTTATGTGTTCCCTAAAGTTCTGAAAGAACTCTCCAATAAAATTACCAAGGCTTGGTACTTTTTCAGTCTCCTTTTCCCCCTAGAACATTCTCTACTTATTCCTCATCATCCTCTGGGTCCTCTCTGTCACTTCTATTTTGCTAAAAAATCATTCAGATATTCAAATTTATTTGCACAGGAATTTTTGAATCATTCTCAAAGTTCTTTTAATTTCTTCTGTTACTATAATTGTATTTTCTTAATGCTGTGTATGAACGGTTTCTCTATTGTTCTTTTTAAAATAAGTTAATAAGCAGTTTCTGATTTTTATTTTATTGGCCTTTTGTGTTCCATTTTTCTAAGATTTGTCTTATGTTTTTTCCATCTTATGTACTTGAAATACATTTGTTTTCTTTCTTGTTTGTTAATGAACATTTTTGTAACCAGTAGAAATGTTTCCTGGAGTCAAGCCAATCCCCAAAGACTTTAAAATATGATGGTATCATTATTTTCTAAAATAATCTGTTTTGAGTCAAGGACTGTGATATTGAGGCTTTTATTCATACTTTTGTTAATTTCTGCTTTTCATACACCTGATTAGAAAATGAGATCTTATTCTTTCTGTTGTTTGCATATTTTTATTGCATAATTTGTCGTTTGGCTGGTCCTTTAATATGCAATAACTTTTTTGAGAAAATTGATATTGGTTTGAAATTTTGAACCAGTCTGAAAGTCCCTTGTGATATTTGACACTTATTCTACTTACCTTTCTAATCTGTTTCATCACCAATAATTACTTTTACATTTAAAAAAGCAAATTTAGAACCTTATTTATAAATTTATCAATTTGGAAAAATTAAAATACAGTCATTGACTCCTTTCACCCAGTTTTTCCTAATAAACTTGAGAATTTTATCCCAGTCTGCTATATGGTATTTTGTCTACTCTAAGACTCCTCTATATTTTCGCATTACCATCTCTATAACTGGAATACCTTAAGCAATGTCAGGTTAAAATAGCTACTGTCTTGTGGCCTAATGATGAAATTGTCTTTGCTTGCATGTGTTTGGTGTGACTGGACAAAGTTTCAGTCAACAAGTCATTTTAAAACCATTTGAAGAGAGGGGTGCCTGGGTGGCTCAGTCGGTTTAGTATCAACACTTGATTTTGATTAAGGTCATGGTCTCAGTGTTGTGAGAGCAAGCCTGGTGTAGGGCTCTGTGCTGGGTGTGGAGCTCATTAAGATTCTCTCTCTCCCTCTGCACCTCCCCCCCCCCCCCGCAAAAAAAAGCCAAACCATTTGAGGAGAGGATAAGAGTCCTGGTTGTTGTCTGAAAAATCTTCCAATGAGACCTCCTGGTAAGATCAGGAACATGCCAGGATTACATTTTACAAAATGGGTGTCAATAGCTTGAAGTTTTTGAAAACTCTGGAGACAGAGAAACTGAAGAAATCCTACGTCTTCATCAGTTCTCTCAAGGGCCCAGAGAACTCCGGAAAACCTCAAACATCTGTAGCTCTCCATCAGAAAGTGACCTAAAAGATTTTAGGCTCAAAATGGGAAGATGTTTTAGAAATAGCTTAATTAATTTATTTAAGTTACAGTTTCCCTTTTTATGTAACCAGAAAATGGTACATATGTTTTTAAGAGCTCTTTAAAGAAATGTAAAGTAAAAATTCTAAGTCATGAAAAGTAATATGTTTCATTGACAGTGTGTTCTCTTGTGGGGCATAAAATAGTGATTGATTCCTTTTGAAATTAAGGTCATAGGCATGGTGAAATTTGGAAGTTCATTCAATTTTTTTGTTGCTGTTTTGTACCTTTTGTTTCAACAATTAATAGTATTCCCAATTATCACAGCTAATTAAGCTTAATTTGTTCATGACATAATTTCCTCATTCATAACTTTTTAATGCTAAGTTATCTCTCAGCTGGAAGCTGCCACGAAATAGATTTTTCTCTTCTGAAAAGCCTTTTTGACTGATACACTCCCTGAGGTTTTGGGTTGTTTATTTCTTTTAGCATCTAGCAATTATTTACTAACAGCACTTTTTCCAGTCACATTGCTCAAATAGGAATTACATTTTTTTATTACTTTCTATACTCATTTAACATAAATAGCATCTTGTCTGGGAAATATTTGAGTCACCCTTTTTTACTATCAGAAATCTCTTTTTTATCATTTAGTGTTGCAAGAAGTTAATGTTTCCCTGCTATTTTATTGTGTGTGGATGTGTGTTTGTGTATTTTTTCTTCCTTTTATAGGTGAGCTGTTTTCTAAGCCTAGGTGATTGGATGCCTGTTGTATGGGTCCTTTCTTTAAGGTTTCTGTGTACTCATTTTTCAACAAAGTTTAACACTCTGAGTCAAATAATTGCCACAAAATGGCATAGTTAGAATCTCTTTTAACTGATTGCTCTTTACCTGGATTCTAGGAAGTCGGGACTGTAGAAAATTACAATCAGGGAATTTTGTAGATGATACTTTCCTTCTATATTGGTTGAAACTTTTGCTTTTAGGGCTAGTCCCACAAATATGGGAGCAAACAGTCTCCTGTCTGTGAGAGGAGGTGTCATTTGAGTTCTGGCTTATT